AGGAGGACCTCAGGATCAGGCTAGGTTCATATGGAAAGAAGCAGCCCTTGAAGTATTGTGATCCTGAGCCATGTAAGGCTTTATAGGTCAAAACCAGCACCTTGAATTAAGCCCGGAAACTAACTGGTAGCCAGTGCAGTCGGACCAGGATGGGGGTAATATGCTCACCCGCCTTACTCCGGTGAGCAACCTGGCTGCTGAATTCTGCACTAGCTGAAGTTTCCAAACTGTCTTCAGAGGCAGCCCTACGTATAACGCATATCTATATCTAACCTTGAAGTTACCAAAGCATAGACAACGGTAGATAGGCTATTCCTGTCCAGATAGGGGTGTAGCTGGGCTACCAGCCAAAGGTGATGGAAGGCACTACAGGCCTTCTGAGCCTCAAGTGACAGCAAAGGATCCAGGATTACCCCCAAGCTACGAACCTGCTCCTCCAAAGGAAGTGTAACCCCATCAAGAGCAGGCGACCTCCCAGCCATCTGCTCTAGGGAACCACCCACTAACTGAGCCTCACTCTTATCTGGATTGAGCTTCAATTTGTTGGCTTTCATCCAGTCCATTACCGAGGCAAGACACTGGTGGGAGAGGGTGCTCAGGGGTGTTGGGAGTAGTAATAGTAATAGTATTAGCCTGTCTAACTAAGGCCTCAGCCACGCCTGGAATTTTAATGTGGACTTGAAGTTGCTTGTTTCTCCTCTTTTTAACCTCTTCTGCCCAGAACTGCTGTATTTAATTGAAACACAAATGTTTTTAAATGTGTGTGGTTCTTTTGGGGGGTGTTATTGGGTTGATTTTGTTTATGTTTTGATTATGTAATTTTCAGTTTTTATATTGCAATTTTATCCTGTGGACTGCCCTAAGGCCTGTGGGTACAGGGAGGTATACAGTTTTAATAAATTATAATAAAATCAGGCCGGATAAAAATTATTACAAGTTCCAGGTGCAGCCCCAGCAGAAGGTTTTCCAATGCTTAAGGGTTTGCCTTGACCCCAAGCCCTATGGGGAGCCCAAGGAAGGTCCCCCACCTGCCCAAGTTGGGCCTGCAGGAAGGAGAGCAGGAGAAAGATCTGCCCTTCCATTGGGAAAAGATGTCCTACCCCCATACAAAGGGGGAAAGCCCTATAAATGCATTACTTTAGCGGAATTATATACAGAATGCATTAATTATGGCAAATGTAAATATTTGGGGAAATACCCTTTGCAAAGGCGTGAGCATTAGGCGAGATCTGCACCAAAATGTTGAACAATTTTCAAGAAGTCTTTAAAATGTGAAAATCTGGACAAATTGATGACTAGAAAAAGGAGACGCAGAAAAAAACTTACATTGAAACGGTTTGCCTACTGGGGTTTTTTTAAACTCCCTCCCCGCATTCCCTCCAGCTGCACCCCCCTTATAAAACATCATAATAATGACCCACCTCCAGCGCCTCCGCGAGGAAGGAAAGCCGCCGCCATATTCGGCATCTGCCACCCCGCCAAAAGCGGGACAGGAAGCGGAAGCTGCTATTCTCCCCGGCAGCCTTTTTTCTTCCGCTCTAGGAATCTCAGCTCTGTCGCCGCTGCTCTTAACCGTTTCGGAGCCGAGCGGCAGGAGCCTCTGGGATTCTCCGGGCAGAGAGCAGGAGAGGCGCTGGTCTTGCCTCCGGAAAGCCCCCGCTGGATCAGCAGCGCTTTGCAATAAATGGCTTTTCCCCCGGCCCCTCTGGTTTCCATTCCCCCCCCCCCTTTATTCACCTTGCATATAATTATATTTCTACTATTAATTTCAACTTATTTTTCCCCTCCTAATTCTATTCTTGGTTCATAAATGTTACATCAAACCTGCTAATGTTTTGACGTTTTTTACAGTGTTCTCTAAAATAGTCTATAAAGTTTCCCCATTCTTGATTGAATTTTTTCTCATCTTGGTGCCTGATCTTCAGCTATTTCGGCAGAGTCAGTCATCTTAGTTATCCATTTTTCTTTCTTTGGGACCTTTTCTTCTTTCCACATCTGGGCTAGTAGCATTCTGGCCACTGTAGTCGCATACATAAAACAGTCTCCTTTGCTTCCTTGGCAATTCTCCTCCTATTACACCTAGTAAAAAAGCCTCTGGTTTTTTTAAAACTAATTTTAAGAATTTTAAAAAGTTCATTGTATATCATTTCCCAGAAGCCCTTTACTTTTTTACACGTCCACCACATATGAAAAAATTGTTTGTTCCTTATCCTTACATTTCCAGCATAAGTTAGAGATATCTTTATACATTTCAGCAAGCTTTACTGGAGTCAAATACCATCAGTATATCATCTTCATATAATTTTATTTTAATGAACTACAAGCCGTGAATTTTAAAATCTCTTTCCACAGCTTTTCCTATGATTCAAGTGGTATATTATAACCTATGTCTTTTGCCCAGTGTATCATTACAGCTTTAACCTCTTCATCTTTCGTTTCCCATTCCAGCAGTGGTTTGTACATTCTTGATAACAATTTCTCATTATTTTCTAATAATTCATTTTTGAACTTTGAGAATTCCTTCCCAAAGTCCTTCTCTTTGTCACCTCTGAATATGTCATTTATTTGGCAATATTGTAACCAACCTGTTAACAGAGCTTTTATATCCTCATATTTTTTCACCTTTAATTTGTATTCTACTTCTGTTAACGGATCTTTGTATGTTGCCCAGTTTCGTGTTTACCTCTTTTTACAGATATGGTTTCTAATGGGGAAAGCCACAAAGGTGTCTTGTTCTCTAATAAATTCTTATATTTGTCCCATACTTGGTAAATTGATTCCCTTATAATGTGGTTCAGGAATCCCTTGTGCACCTTTCTTTTCTCATACCAAAATTAAGCATGCTAACTAAATCTATTATCCACGTCCTTCCAGATCTGATACTTCAATATTGTTTAACTATATCCATTAGCCAATCATGTGCAGCCAATCACGGGCTGCATTTTAAATTGCATTTTAACCTGTATTTTAAATTGGTCCCCCCCCCTTATTTTTACTGTGATTTTATTGGTGTTAGCCGCCCTGAGCCCGGCTCTGGCCGGGGAGGGCAGGGTATAAATAAAAGTTATTATTATTGTTGTTGTTATTATTGCACATAATCCCCTGCCCAGCAACAAAGGATCGAGAGCAGGGGTAGCAACCTAAGGTTCGGGGGCCAGATGCGGCCCCATCGCCTTCTAAATCTGGCCTGCGGATGGTCTGGGAATCAGTGTGTTTTTACATGAGTAAAGGCTGGGCTGGATGAATCCCAAGCCGGAATTAAGATCGCCGGAAGAAATATCAGCAACCTCAGATATGCAGATGACAAAACCTTGATGGCAGAAAGTGAGGAGGAATTAAAGAACCTTTTAATGAGGGTGAAAGAGGAGAGAGCAAAATATGGTCTGAAGTTCAACATCAAAAAAACGAAGATCATGGCCACTGGGCCCATCACCTCATGGCAAATAGAAGGGGAAGAAATGGAGGCAGTGATAGATTTTACTTTCTTGGGCTCCATGATCACTTCAGATGGCGACAGCAGTCACGAAATTAAAAGTTACAGATAGGTAGCCGTGTTGGTCTGCCATAGTCAAAATAAAAAAATTCCTTCCAGTAGCACCTTAATGACCAACTAAGTTAGTTCTTGGTATGAGCTTTCGTGTGCATGCGAAATAAAACGGACATAAATCAGACATCAAGAATCACAAAAACAGAGAAACCAGTAGGAGAACACTTCAATCTCCCAGGACATTCTATACAAGATCTCAAAGTAGCTGTTTTACTACAAAGGAGTTTCAGAAATAGACTGGAAAGAGAAGCTGCTGAATTGCAAACTCATTACCAAACTTAAAACCATGGAGAGACCTGGTCTCAACAGAGACATTGGATTCTTATCTCATTATACATGACTAGCTATTTTTCACCTTCTCACCCCTTGCCTTTTCCTGTAAGACCTATTGCAGTCGTTAAGAGTCGTCAACAGGCTCATCTCAGCTATCTGCCAATCACCATTCCCACCACCCTTCTGAGTAATACCCCTCCCACCTTCTCACTATATAGAAGGATCTGGCAACTTCTGTTTCAGTGTATCTGAAGAAGTGTGCATGCACACGAAAGCTCATACCAAGAACTAACTTAGTTGGTCTTTAAGGTGCTACTGGAAGGAATTTTTTTTATTTTGACGAAATTAAAAGACGCCTACTCCTTAGGAGAAGGGCAATGACAGGCCTAGACAGCATCTTGAGAAGTAGAGACGTCACCTTGCCAACAAAGGTCCGTATAGTATAGTTAAAGCCATGGTTTTCCCAGTAGTGATGTATGGAAGTGAGAGCTGGACCATCAAGAAGGCTGATCGCCGAAGAATGGATGCTTTTGAATTATGGTGCTGGAGGAGACTCTTGAGAGTCCCATGGACTGCAAGAAGATCAAACCTATCCATTCGGAAGGAAATCAGCCCTGAGTGCTCACTGGAAGGACAGATCCTGAAGCTGAGGCTCCAATGCTTTGGCCACCTCATGAGAAGAGAAGACTCCCTGGAAAAGACCCTGATGTTGGGAAAGATGGAGGGCACAAGGAGAAGGGGGACGAGGTGGTTGGACAGTGTTCTCGAAGAGACCAGCATGAGTTTGACCAAACTGCGGGAGGCAGTGGAAGACAGGAGTGCCTGGTGTGCTCTGGTCCAGGGGGTCACGAAGAGTCGGACGCGACTAAACAACTAAACAACAACAAAGATTGTGTCTTTTTATTTCAAATGCATCTTTGGGTTATTTGTGGGGCATAGGAATTTGTTTATCCCCCCCCAAAAAAAATATAGTCCAGCCCCCCACATGGTCTGAGGGACAGTGGACCAGCCCGCAGCTGAAAAAGGTTGCTGACCCCTGATCAAGAGGCTTCAAGAGGCTGCTGAACATCCTAACGGGTTAAAGGAACTTTAACAGGATTCCTAGAGAGGAAGGGGAAGTGGAGAGGATTCCTAGAGAGGAAGGGGCAGTGGAGAGGATTCCTAGAGAGGAAGGGGAGGGTGGTCTCATACCGGAAGTGCATCTCCACCCACCCACCAACCCACCTCTCCTGTAGGGAAGCTGCTTCTGTCTCCCCCAAGCGCTGCATCGGTGGCCCCACCTGGGATCTGGTGAGCCGCCCCCCCAAAAATTGTCTCTTTGAAGGGTAGGGGTCCCTGGGCTGCAGGGGTGGGTGCCTAGGAGGACCTGAAAGGGAGGGGTGAGGAGGGGGAGATTCCGGGATCCCAGGCTTTGAATGGGGAGAAAATGTGGGGTGGGGGGGGGTTAGGGGTAGCCGGCTGAGAGTGTTTAGGGAGCCAAACCCTGGCCCCACTTTGCCCCATAGCGAGGCAGCCTCTGCAGCAGATTCATCTGGGATCTGCCCAACACAACACACAATAATAATAATAATAATAATAATAATAATAATAATAATAATAATAATTTGTACCACGCCCATCTGGCTTCCAACAAAGATTAAAAATACATTAAAATGTCACACGTAAAAACTTCCCTGCACACAAGCTTTTAGGGATCTGGGCTTCTTTCTCCCTCCTCTCTGAAAAGCCAGCAAGAGGCCCCTTGGATGTTTCATGCCGTGGGGAGGTTTCAAGGTCTGCAGGGCTGGGGGACTGGGAGAGAATCATCAGCTGCGCTTCTGTTAGGATTTCCACCGCCACCACAGTCAGGCACATACCCTCCAACATTTTTATTTTTACTTTTTAATATAATTTTTATTAAGTTTTCTGTTTTACATCTTTGAATATTCATTTAGACAACCTTGAAATATCAGTGACTTCCCTTCTTCTCTTTCCATGGTTCATTTTGCATAGCATAAATCCCTGCATATTTTATATAAACTAAAGCATTCAGTATTCCATTATTCCTTCCATCAAAACTTATTTACACTGTTGAATTCATCTTGATGCTGCCAATGTTTTCAAGTGTACACAATTCCCCCCCCCCCCATATATTCAATAAACATTTTCCAATCTTCTTTAAACAAATGTTCTTCTTGTTCTCTTATTCTGTAAATTAGATCCGCAAGCTGTGCATATTCCAACAGTTAAAGTTGCCATTCTTCTTTGGTTGGGACTTTGCTCGTATAATATTATCATAATCATCATCCTATGATTTATACCCCGCCCATCTGTCTGGTTTGCCCCAGCCATTCTGAGCAGCTTCCAACATATATAAAAACATAAAGGTAAAGGGACCCTGACCATTAGGTCCAGTCGTGACCGACTGGGGTTGCGGGGCTCATTTCGCTTTACTGGGTGAGGGAGCCGGTTGCTGACCCCTTCCGGGTCATGTGTCCAGCATGACTAAGCCACTTCTGGCGAACCAGAGCAGCGCATGGAAACGCCGTTTACCTTCCCGCCGGAGCGATACCTATTTATCTACTTGCACTTTGAGGTGCTTTCGAACTGCTAGGTTGGCAGGAGCAGGGACCGAGCAATGGCAGCTCACCCCGTTGTGGGGATTCGAACTGCCGACCTTCTTATCAGCAAGTCCCAGGCTCTGTGGTTTAACCCACAGCGCCACCTGCGTCCCTTATAAAAACATAATAAATTATTAAACATTAAAAAACTTCCCTGTACAGGGCTGGGGGGGGGGGTCGGATAGCTACATACCTTCTAGCATTTCCCTGATGAAAATAGGGAGGTCCCAGGGAAAAGCGAGACATTCGGAGATCAAATCAGAAACCAGGGTGGCTTCTGTAAGTAAATCCCTGGAAAATAGGGACACTTGGAGGGTCTGCAGGCACGGTGGACACTCGTGTGTGTTGGTGTGCGCTTTCAGATGTGCAGCACATAACCCGTGCAGGGGAACTTTTTTTTTTTTTTGTCCCGGAGTACAGAAGCACAGCTGAAAATGGGAACCCTTTTTAATCTAAGGCAGCAGGTACCGGTGGGAAGTAAACAGGCTTGTGTGCGAGTGGTTTATGGATTACGCAGTGAGGATTATAGAGAAGGGGGGGGTGGAATCGGTGGAAGGCTGAGAGCCGTAAGGGATGGAGGACTGGAGAGAGGGATGGATGTAGGATCCTCTGATTCCCAAGGGCATGGAAGGCTTTAATCCAGAGCCCTCTAGTCCCCATAACTGCCCTCTAGTCCCCAGTACGGTCGTACCTCGGAAGTCAAATGGAATCCGTTCCGGAAGTCCATCCGACTTCCAAAAAGTTTGGAAAACAAAGCGCTGCTTCTGATTGGCTGCAGGAAGCTCCTGCAGCCAATAACTTATATGAAACAAAGCAACATTCAACAATCCAACAGGATCTAATAGTAATGTAAAGGTAAATGGACCCCTGACCATTAGGTCCAGTCGTTACCAACTCTGGGGTTGCAGCGCTCATCTCGCTTTATTGGCCGAGGGAGCCAGCATACAGCTTCCGGGTCATGTGGCCAGCATGACTAAGCCACTTCTGGCGAACCAGAGCAGTGTACGGAAATACCATTTACCTTCCCGCTGGAAGGTATTTATCTCCTTGCACTTTGACGTGCTTTCGAACTGCTAGGTTGGCAGGAGCAGGGACCGAGCAACGGGAGCTCACCCCGTCACGGGGATTCGAACCGCCGACCTTCTGATCAGCAAGTCCTAGGCTCTGTGGTTTAACCCACAGCGCCACAGCAAATAATAATTAAGCAGTTCAACCACAATAAAGAATTACCAATATATAATAAAAGTAACATCAAATCACAATGCATAATATACCACAAAACGTTCAAAACCATGTAAAAGGATCAAATTGAGAAACAAAGAAGCACAACTTATGAAACAATTTTTAAAAAAAAATATCCCTGAATGAATGAATTGTTTCATACTGCTGCTGCTGCTGCTGTTCTCAAAGTCATAGTCTGGGAAAAGCTAGGTGGGGCAAGGCAGGTGGAAAAGCCATTGCCTGATGAGGAACTGAAAGTCTGTCTCCCCTCACCTCTAGAGACTGATATGGGAGAGACACCCTTTCCAGTTCAGAAAACCAGGCTCAGGGCAGCTAACAACAAATTTAAGACACTTAATTATAAAAGCAGCATAAAATATGAATAACAATAAAATTCAAAAATCAATTTAGGGCTAGCTGGCTGAATTGGTCCTACTTGGGCCAGCGAGGAGGCCAGGGGAGAACTAGCTGTGGGGTCTCAGAGTGGGTAATCTTCATAAAAGGGGAGGGGGAGGGAAGGGAAATAAAAGATCAGGCTGAATTCAAATTAGAGGCCAGGCGGAATAGCTCTGTCTTACAGGCCCGACGGAAGGAGGTTAAATCCTGAAGGGTCTTAGTCTCATGGGACAGAGCATTCCACCAGGTTGGAGCCATCACTGAAAAGGCCCTGGCCCTGTTGGGGGATAGTCTAAATTCTTTAGGGCCCGGGACCTCTAAACTATGGTTATTCATGGACCTTAAGGTCCTCTGTGGGGCATACCAGGAGAGGTGGTCCCGTAGATACGTTAATATAAATATTTATTTATACATAAATATAAGCAGTCCAAATGCCCAAATAGATATCTAAATGAAACGGACTATTATAAGCCGTGCAATCAGATGTAGAAAGAGCAGTGAGATCTACAGGCCACTGGGTGTTAGATGTTGAGTCCTCCTCCATTCAGCCTTGCAGTAACTTAGCCCCATAGGGACTTGGAGAACCCATGTTTGTTGTCCATCTGTTAGTCCAAAGAGCTGCTTCGTAGCCAGACTCGTCCAGCTTTGGTGAACGGAAAGCTTCTAGCCGTAACAATTCAATGATTCTCTAACAAGCCGTTTTCTTCACTTTGCAGGGCTTGGTTGTACCTTGAATCAGGGCAGCTTTTGCCTTGAAAAGGCAGATTGGAAGAAGAGGGGAGAGCCAGAGGATTCCTTGGAGCACAGACCCAACATGGATGGACAAGCCACAGCTGGCCTTGACACCACCCGGGTTGGGAGGAGTGAGGGATTCTGGGAAAGAACCGTGCAGAATATCCTGGGTGCGGAGGACGCCCTCAGCTCAGACGCTCAGCGCCAACGTTTCAGGCAGTTCCACTACCAGGAGGCCGAGGGGCCCCGAGACGTTTGCAACCTGCTTCATGACTTTTGCCGTCGGTGGCTGAAGCCACAGCTTCACTCTAAGACTCAGATCCTGGACCTGGTGATCCTGGAGCAGTTCTTGGCTGTCCTCCCCCCGGAGATGGAGAGCTGGGTGAGGGAATGTGGAGCAGAGACCTGTTCTCAGGCGGTGGCCCTGGCTGAAGGTTTCCTCCTGAGCCGAGCAGAGGACAAGAAGCAGAAAGAGCCGCAGGTTTGAAAAAGTTTTGTTCTGGTGGTTTGAAAGGGCTGAGGAACATGAAGCAGAAAATCCCAAAACTCCCTATATTTTTCAAATCCTTTCTGAAACATAGCTGTCAACCGTCCCTTATTTGGCGGGAAACTCCCTTATCCCAGCGCCATGTCCCGCTGCTGTCCCTTATTGATGATGTCCCTTGATGTCCCTTAAATTTCCCAGGTTTCATGCTTGCCCGGCTCGGGAGGGAAGCAGCGGCTCGGGGTCCTCCGCCGCGTGAGAGAGAGCGTGTGCATGAGCTGCCGCATCTCCGTCTCTCCCTTTTCCCCCTCAGGGGTGCGTCGTGAGGAGATAGGTGGCGGCGGGCGGGCAGGCAGCCCCTCTGTTGCAAGACTTCCGCCACGCTGCCAGGGGAAGCCTGAGGTGGCAGCGGCGGCTGGGGAGGCGGCCTGAGGGAGGGGAATGAGGAGGGATGCAGAAGGGCAGCGCTTCAGCGGCCGTCGCAGCGCCGCAACCGCCTCATGCCGGGCTCACGGGCGGTGTGGGCGAGAGTCTCTCTCCCTCCCTTCCTCTTGTGCGGCGAAGGGCCGATGGAAGTCCTCATGCCAGGACGACGGCAGCCCCGACGTGCTGCTTAGCATCCCCTCCAACCAGTGCAACATCTTAATGTAGTGATTTCCCCCTCTGCATCCCTTTCATAACTCTATTTTAATAAATCATTTGTCCATCCATAGTTCAAATTTTTACTACAAGTTTTCTGTCAATCCTACCAATGTATGTAACTCTTTACAAGAGCTTTTCAACTAAATTATAAACTTTCCCCGTTCTTTATTAAAGAGGTCCTCTTCCTGGTTTCTAATTCTGCCTGGAAGCTTTGCCTTATCGACGTCGTTCATCAGTTTTGTCTGCCCCTCTTCTTCGGTCGGAGTTGTAGACCCTTAGGATCATCTAGTCCAGTGTTTCCCAACCACTGTTCCGCGGCACACTAGTGTGCCGCGAGATGTTGCCTGGTGTGCCGCGGGAAAAATTAAAAAATTCGAAAGATAGCTTCATATCCGGAGAGGCGGCCTTCAGGCGAGTTTTAATTTTAATTTTCCTTCTCCCACTTAATGCCCCACGCTCGCCCGAGCAGCTTGCAGTCCTCGGTAACCACGGCGACCCGAGGGAGGGGAGGGAACAGGGAAGTCGAGGGCGGCGGCGAGCCGCGATGACGTCAGTGGGCTGCGCCGCCTCGCCCTGGCACGGTGTGAGAGCCCCGGCTAGTGGCGCGAGCTTCGGAATAAGTGGGATCCACGTGCGCGAGACCGAGATCGCGGGTAAGGAGCTCAGCCCTGGGCAGGAGGAAGCGGGGCCGCGTGTGCGGGCCACATCCCCACAGAGAGCGAGCCTCCCCCGGCCCACCACTCCGGGCAGGTCAACTCGCATGAGGGGGCGGCGATGGCGACGGCCGGCAGCTTGCCTGCAATGCCATCCCTCGAGCAGGCGAGGAGCCCGGAGGCTACCAGATGCGAGTCCTCTTTCCCACCCTGCTCGGGAGTCCAGAGCACTTGGTCGCATTCAGGATCTAGAGTGGGGAAGCGGGGCTTGTGTCTGGGCTGGACACATTGGGCTGCCTGTGCCGCTCGACCTGCGGGGAGAAATCAGGGTGGGAGTCACGACCGTGAGGCAGGGCTGCCAAGTGTGGCAGAAGAGGAAACGGCCGTCGCACCTGTCCTTAGGTAGGAGCTTCTTCCGTGTCGACCTGCTGCCCTAAAGTCTTGGCTTTTTTCTTGGCTTTTTGGCGGTTGGCACAGAAGGAAGGCAAGGGGGAGGGGAAAAAATTGAAACTTACACTTTCGTGCGTCCCTCCCGGCGTGACGCTGCGCGCTGACGTCACGGGGCTGTAATGGTGGTGTGCCTCGAGATTTTTTTCATGAAACAAGTGTGCCTTTGCCCAAAAAAGGTTGGGAAACACTGATCTAGTCCAGCCGCCTGCAAAACAAAGTCAGTGGCAGGAAAAGCAGCATGGCTCCATCAGTTGCGGATTCATGTATAAGCTAAGCAAAATCCCTTATTTTGGCTGCTGATCCCTTATTTTCGAGGCTGCTGGTCCCTTATTTTCAAATCTGGAAGTTGACAGCTATGTTCTGAAAGTGTCCCAAACGCCAAAGCCTTTGCCGCTAACGCTCCTTTTCTCATCCTCCCCCCCGTTCCCTCTTTCTGGTTAAGGGTCTGTTAACAGAAGTCGCCACTGATTTCCTTGATGCTGTGAAGGCTCCAGAGAACATCAGAGAGATTCCCCTGCAAAGGTGGAAGGTGCCGGAGGAGAAGGAGGGAGGCGCCATCTTGCTGGGTAATGGAGCATGAACGCGAACTTGGTCTCCTTCCATTAATCATTGGGAAACAAAAATTTTGTTGCATTGACACCTGCAGTTGTTCTAACCTGATTTTGACGTGCTGATTTCATATCAGAAGTTGGTTTTGTTCTGTAAGCTCCAGTTTTTTTTGCAATTCCTGTTTTTCACTTTTCACCATAATCTTTCACAATGCAAGAATTAGCCAAAGTAGTACAATATGAGTATAAATGTAAGTGACTTATATAGCATTGAATATGACATTTACAGCATTGAAAATGACATGTATATCTATGTACAGTTGGAGGTATGAAAGAAAATGTATTCCCCTGGGAGACACAGTATACTGGGGAACAATTCCCCCCCCATTTTCTTTTGCATGAGATTTTCAACTGTTCTTATATGTTCTTATATGGTCCAATCTGAAAAATACAAATATTTAGGTTAGGTTAGGTTACAAAACTATAAAAATAAATAAAAATGAAGTTTGCAAAACAATAATTACCATGTGGTTAGGGTAGATTAACGTATCAGTGTCCACTAATCCTCAGTGTAAATATGACATATCGGCAAAAGTCGGAAACTGCAAGATAACTATAGCATGTACACGAAAATTGATTTCAGATTTGAAATCAGCATTGAAAGAACATATAAGAACAGTTGAAAAATCTCATGCAACAGAAAATGGGGGAAAAATTCTTCCCCAGTGTTATGGAAGAAATCTGCTCTGTGTGTGTGTGTGTGTGTGTGTGTGTGTGTGTGTGTGTGCTTGCGCACGCACGCGCAGGGGGGCAAGATACACTTCCTTCTGGTCCTTTTCTACAGTTCAATGTGATGTTTATTTTCAGCACTTGAACACATGGAAGCCAACTTGTACTTTGCCAAGGTCCCAGCTGGGGAGAGGTGTCTTTGCACAGTACAGTCAAACCTCGGTTGTCGAATGTAACCCGTCCCATTCGGCTTCCGAAATGTTCGACAACCGAGGCAGGTTGGCTGCAGGAGATTCCTGCACTCCAGCGGAAGCAGCTTCGGACGTTTGGCTTCCGAAAAACGTTTGAAAACCAGAACACTTCCGGGTTTGGGGCATTTGGGAGCTGAAATGTTCCGAAACGGAGGCGTTTGGGAACTGAGGTTTGACTGTACTGAAAATGAAAGCGTCTATATAATGAAATATACATGACAGGTTATAGTGTACATGACATTTTGTAATATACACGACATTTTGTAATGTCAAGGGGTGATTAGACATGGGCCACTTAACCTCTGAGACAAGCCCATTCTGATCTTTGTCTCCCACCTTTGTCTCTCACAGGCGATGGAATGATGCCAGCGAGACATAATCATCCATTTCTTTCTGGTGGAAGGGAAGCGGTTGCTGTGGCAACTGACCAGGTAAGGGGAAGGACCAATGGGGCTGCCAGGAGGTAGTCAGGGTGTGTCTGTATTTTGGCATTTAAAGGGGGAAGTTATGGGGTCAAGGAAGTTGCCCAACAGGAAGGCTGTGGATGCAGGGGTCGCAGGAAGGCAGCATTGGTAAGTTTTATGAATTGGGGTGGTGTTATCTATAAAGGGGGAAATATTTGCTTTTCTTTCAGGACCCAGCATCGTTTGAGGATGTGGCTGTGTGTTTCACGGCAGAGGAGTGGGTTCTGCTGGATCCTGACCAAAGAGCTCTACACAAAGAAGTCATGGAGGAGAACTGTGGGATCGTGGCCTCTCTCAGTAAAAGTATATTTCCCTAGTGGATTATAATATTTCTTTAGAAATTATATATGAATTTTAGCTGCTGCTTCTGTTTTGCAGAATCCCAACAATTTAGTACCTCCTTCTTTCCATAAAGTAAAGGGTAAAGGGACCCCTGACCATTAGTTCCAGTCATGGCCGACTCTGGGGTTGCGGCGCTCATCTCACTTTACAGTGGTACCTCGCAAGACGAATGCCTCGCAAGACGAAAGGCTTTTCCGTTTTTGAGTTGCTTCGCAAGACGATTTTCCCTATGGGCTTGCTTCGCAAGACGGAAACGTCTTGCAAGTTTGTTTCCTTTTTCTTAAAACCGTTAATACAGTTGCGACTTGACTTCGAGGAGCAACTCATAGCACGCGGTGTGCATCTCCGTAGGGGCAAGAATGCGTGAAGGCGGGTTCTGAGGGAGAGGAAGCTTTGTTTCGGCGAAAAATAGCAAGGCGCGCACACTTCCCTCCCCACAACTCCCAGTTAGGGAGGCCAGGCTCCGGCGCTCTTCGGACGGGGCTCCTTCCTTCTCCGCCCCCCCAGCGCCCCGGCGGTGACAAGAGCGCCTGCCCGGGCCCTCCGGCGCTCGCCCTGCGAGGGGTGCCCCCTACCTGCATCTCCACGCTTTCCAACCCCGGACGTCGACGGCTGTGGCAAGTTTGCCTCTCAGTGTGTGTGCTCGCGAGTGTGTGTTCTCCTCGCCCCGCTCGAGTTAGTCCCGGTGCAGCGCAGGCAGCAGGTGAGTCGCCCTTTGGCAGCGCGGAAGGCGCCGGGCCAGGCAAGGTCAGCTCGGGAGCCAGCGGGGACGCGCCCCCGCGCTCCTCTCCAACGGGCTGGATGCACCCCTCTCCGCTCGCGCGCTTCTGGCTGGCTGGCCGGCTGCAGCAGCAACAGGGGCAATAGGCATCCACCGTCGCCGACGCTCCCTCCCTCCCTCCTGCCCGCGGCAGGCGGCTGGCTGGCTGGCGCTCTCACTTTCTTTCGGGCTGCTGCTGCAGAAGGGATTTTGCACCAGACAACTTTTAGGCCGGTAGTAGTTTTGACTACCGCGGCGACAGCAGCAGCAGCAAGACGGCGCCGACTGTAATGCAAAGGGTCGGAGCAAGGCGAGCCGAACCGATCCCGGGGGCTCAGGCAGCAACCTCCGCCCCGCCTCCCCCACGCCCCGCGCCCGCCTCTCCCTCCCTCCCAAGCACCCCCCTTTTTTGAGGTTTTTGAAGACTTTGGTGATTTTTGAAGCTTTTCCAAAACTTTCCCGACACCGTGCTTCGCAAGACGAAAAAAATCGCAAGACGAAAAAACTCGCGGAACGAATTAATTTCGTCTTGCGAGGCACCACTGTATTGGTCGAGGGAGCCGGCATACAGCTTCCGGGTCATGTGGCCAGCATGGCTAAGCCGCTTCTGGCGAACCAGAGCAGCACACGCCGTTTACCTTCCCGCCAGAGTGGTACCTATTTATCTACTTGCACTTTGACGTGCTTTTGAACTGCTAGGTTGGCAGGAGCAGAGACTGAGCAACGGGAGCTCACCCCGTTGTGGGGATTCGAACCGCCGACCTTCTGATCAGCAAGTCCTGTCCTAGGCTCTGTGGTTTAACCCACAGCGCCACCTGCGTCCCCCTTCTTTCAATAGAGCAGGATTTATCTATTTTTCTTTATCGAAACATTTATATCCCCCCCTTTCCATTGAACAGAAATCTACAAGTTGGCTAACAATGCTTGGACCTCAATATGAACAATTAAAACCAGAACACAATCAAAACAACAGTTTGTAAAAGTGAGAGATATATATGGGCATATCTGTACACATAATCCATATTTGCAAAGAAGCTTTAATGATGACATTATATTTTTTTAAACTGATGAATTTAATAATTTCCCAAGTGCCCATGAAAAATCCTGTTGTATATTCATGGAACTTAGCACAGCAGTTCAAACTGGTGAATTATTTTCTATGTCTTGCCCTGATGCACAATAGATTTTCAAATTTTGACAATTCCTTCTTTAAAAATAGGGTTTTGTTTTGTTAAATGTTAACCTTGTTTTTTCTTTTTAAAGAAACTGCATTAGCATGTCTTCTGCAAATTATGTCCCTCCCTGTTCTCTCAATTCCACCATGTCACACCCACTAAATTGACACTCTCCTTTAGAATCAAAATCTCTGGCTCTCCCATCTTGTCTTGGTGGTTTCTGTCATCAGAATATAACCACCTATATGTGGTCTGTCACAAAAGGATTTCAAGCTCTCTTTCTACCTCATTTTCCTATTTTCATTACAGCACGCGGACAGGACCTTCATCATAGTTCTGATCTTGCTACACATCAAAGCATTCATATTGGGGAGAAACCTTATCAGTGCCTGGAGTGTGGAAAGAGTTTCCATCCGAACAGGACTTCACATCAGATAATTCACACAGGGGAGGAGCCATATCGGTGCTTAGAGTGTGAAAAGGCTTTTCATGAGAACAAAAGTTTCACTTATCAAACTCATCAGAAAATTCACACAGTGGAGAAAATCTATACACCCTTGGAGTGTGTGAAGAGCTTTGGACAAAACAGAACTCTCACTAATCATCAGAGAATTCACAGAGAAGAGAAACCCTATCAGTGCTTGGAGTGTGGAAAGTTCTTCAGCAGCAGGACGAAGCTCACTGATCATCAGAGAACTCACACAGGGGAGAAGCCATATCAATGCTTAGTGTGTGGAATGAGCTTCACTCAGAAGAGGAATCTCACCTGTCACCAGACAATTCACACAGGGGAGAAACCATATCAGTGCCTGGAGTGCGGAAAGAGCTTCAGGCAGAATTTAACTCTTACTTACCACCAAAGAATTCACACCGGGGAGAAACCGTACGAATGCTTGGAGTGCAGAAAGAGCTTCATTCGGAAGTGCGATCTCACTTATCACCAAAGAACTCACTCCGGGGAGAAACCACATAAATGCCTGGAGTGTGGAAAGAGCTTCATGCAAAAGACGAGCCTCACTTCTCATCAAAAAATTCATACCGGAGACAAACCATATAAATGCTCAGAGTGCGGGAAGGGTTTCTGCCTGAACAAAGACCTCATTCGCCATCAGAGAGTTCACACAGGGGAGAAACCGTACAAATGCCTGGAATGTGGGAAGTGCTTCACACAGAAGACGATTCTTACTGCTCATCAGAGAGTTCATACCGGGGAGAAACCGTATCAGTGCTTAGAATGTGGAAAGGGCTTCACACAAAAGGCAAATCTCACCTATCATCAAGGAATTCACACAGGGGAGAAACCGTATCAGTGTTTGGTGTGTGGAAAGTGCTTCTGTCTGAGCAGGGACCTCACTTCTCATCAAAGAATTCACACGCAGGAGAAACCATACCAGTGCAATGTGGGAACGGCTTCGATACAAGGGCATACCTCCATTGTCATGAAAGAATTCACTCAGGGGCAAAAACATATTAGTACCTGGAGTGTGGAAAGAGCTTCAGATAGACTATAACTCTTACTTATCATCAGATAATTCACTCAGTGGAAAAGCGTGTGAGTTCTGTGATTGTGGAAAGCATTACCGTATGAATTCATGATTTCAAGGCTCTCTGCCCCACCCCTGACCATATAGGGTTTTTTTAAAATCCCCAATTAAACATTAACCCTGACCCCAAATTGATTTGGGGCCAGATCCTGGTTGGGTGTCCCCCTGGTTAGGGTGAGGGGTGCAGCCCTAGGAGCAAACAAGTTACATTATCCATGTATGAATTCAGTATTTTTGGATTTGTTAGAATTCCTGAGCGACACCAGTTCCTTTCTGCTAGTGTGTGCATGTGTGTAGATACTGACACACAAACAAGCAAGCAAACATATATCATGTGATGGATGCCCAGGGTGGTCCTAACAGGAAGAGTCAAACTTTGTTTCACTCCTGCAACTGATGGGTGGAGGAACGGGGATAGGGAGAGATTTGGGGTATCACTGAACAAGCGTAACTCTGGCGTTGGGTGCATTTTCTCAGCTAAGTGGATTTTGGGTTGCAAACCTTTAAGAAATGCTTCGTTTCTCTTTCTGAAAGCATCTAAAAGAAGAAGAAATGTATATTTACAGTACTGGACACAGCTGTGTAAAACAAGGAAAGGATGCTCTGCGTGGTATGTTGGTGCTAGAAAAACAGGATAGAGCTTTTCGTATACATAAGTGAAATAAATGTCTTAAACTGTGTTTTTGTTGCCTGTCCTCGCACCTCAGCACGGAGGGGAGGGGCTGGAGACGCCTGCAGTGACACCTGTCAAATCTGAACGCAGGGAGATCAAAGGGCCTTTTCCTTTTTCATCTCTTTCTGCTCCCATCTCTCTTGGGGCTATGTTCCGTGGACCTTTCCCTACAGGGTCAAAATTGTAAGTTGGAAGCTCCCCAGGAGAGGGACCCTTTTGTTTTCATGTTTCCGTTGCTCTTTCAGGGTGGGAAACTTTGTGTGGGCTGGTGGGCCAGATAGTTATCTGTCTCCAGCCCTGTTGGCCAACTTCCATAGGAGGGCAAGGCAATTCACTTGTCGAATCGCCTGATATCGAGCGTGGTTTCTCTCAAGCACCGGACAGCCGGCTGATTGACACCCTTCGGCCACCCTGTGCTCCACAAAGCACTGAGCGTAAGTCTGGGTCCAGGCTTTTTTGAGGGTCAGGGCAGTGAGAAAACAAAAGTGACCCTTATTTTCTCGCTGCCCCCCCCCACTTACATCCAGACTTTCTTCCCTTCTGTTGCTGTGTGTTCTTCAAATACAGGGAGGTGACAGGAAAGTGGGACGATGCCCTTCAAGGCTGCTGCTTCTTCCTTTGAACAAGGTCAGGACCCCCACAGAAAGAGGGAAGGCTTGAAGATGGGGATGCCCTGCTAGATGAAGTTTGGGTACCACTTTGCGTCAGTCTGCGGAGGAGAGCGTGGCTGGGGAAACCCAGCCAGATGGGCGGGGTATAAATAATAAATTCTTCTTATTATAAATTCTTATTATCATAAGCCCTCAGATGTTCTGCAATGGGAGCGTGGAGGGTTCCTCCATCTTTTACACACCTTGCTTTTGTTAACGGAGAAATCTGAGGGCTCCCTTGGACAAAAAACAAGGACAGCAGCCAGGAATACCAGAGCAAAACAGCAGCCGGTAGGCTTGGTCTTTATGGAAGGCTGTCGCAACAGGACTCCCACCTGCAACAAGATGGAAGCCCTGAAAAAAAGAGCCCCCAAACTTTTATTAGCTGCTAATCCCCATGTTAGGTAAAGGTAAAGGGACCCCTGACCATTAGGTCCAGTCGTGGCCGACTCTGGGGTTGCAACACTCATCTCGCTTTATTGGTCGAGGAAGCCGGCATACAGCTTCCGGGTCATGTGGCCAGCATGACGAAGCCGCTTCTGGCGAACCAGAGCAGGACACGGGAAGGTAATTGACCTTCCCGCCGGAACGGTACCTATTTTTCTACTTGATTCGAATCACCGACCTTCTGATCAGCAAGTCCTAGGCTCTGTGGTTTAACCCACAGCGCCACCTGCATCCCTATAATCCCCATGTTACACCCCCCAACTACATCACGGTTACATCATGAAAGGGGAGGTCTGGTGGCAGTAATCTGAGCATCCTGGACCCTGCCCCATGGTTCCCCTTGCCCTCCACCAAACACCCATCAAGTGTAACAAGAGATATTTACATTTCCCTGTTTCCCAGCCAAGTCAGTAACACCCTTTTGTCTTCATCTGGGCTTGTTATTTCTGGAATGGCTACCTGTCTGGCACTCAGGTATCAGGATGCCAGGGATTATCACTCCGGCAGAGGGGTTGCTGAGTAGCTGATCTCACATGTCTATATGAATTTCTGAAGTTTTCCCAGTGAGCCAGTACATAGATACATCTATCAGTGAATTCTTACATTTGGTATCATACAGCAAAGGCCCTTTGTGTTTTTTTTTGTGTGTTTTTTAAAAAATATTTTATTAAGTTTTCAAATACAAAGTAAACAATATACATACAAAATCCCTTCACCAAAGAAATAGTACACAAAAAAACCAGAACAAGTACACCACAAGTAAAGAGAGAAATAAAAAAGGAATAAAGTAAAAAGATTAAGAAAAAAACCAACCAAACAATTTTTATATAACTAACTGGACTTCCTCACATCTCCTTTACCCTGCATTATTTATAATAAAAATGTCAGCAAATTATTACCTTGTTTCATACCTTATTTTGTACCTTCCAAATATTATACTTCTTGGTTTAAAGTAATTTTTATCAGTTACTCATACCTTAAAATTAAACATAGTGTTGCCTTAAATTTCGACCTTTTCTTACTTATAACTTAATTTTCTATTTTACAAAATCTATTTGCTGGAGCTGAGGTTTACTGAATCGTGCAAATACTTAACATTCATACAACTTATATTGTTTTTGTAAATAGTCCTTGAACTTCTTCCAGTCCTCTTCCATTGTTTCTTCTCCCAAGTCTCGGATTCTGCCAGTCATTTCAGCCAGTTCCATATAGTCCATCAATTGCGTCTGCCACAATTCCAGTGTGGGCAAGTCTTGTGTTTTCCAATGCTTTGCAATAAGTATTCTTGCTGCTGTTGTCGCATACATAAAGAAACTTCTGTCCTTCTTTAACACTTTCTGGCCAACAATGCCCAGGAGGAAGGCCTCCGGTTTCTTAACAAAGGTATATTTAAATACCTTTTTAAACTCATTGTAGATCATTTCCCAGAAGGCCTTCACTTTTGGGCATGTCCACCAGAGGTGAAAAAATGTCCCCTCAGCCTCCTTACATTTCCAACATTTATTATCAGACAGGTGATATATTTTTGCAAGCTTGACTGGGGTCATGTACCACCTATATATCATTTTCATAATATTCTCCTTCAAGGCATTACATGCCGTGAATTTTATTCCGGTGGTCCATAACCTTTCCCAGTCCTCAAACATGATGTTGTGCCCAATATCCTGAGCCCATTTTATCATGGCTGATTTAACTGTCTCATCTTGTGTGTTCCATTTAAGCAGCAAGTTATACATTCTCGAAAGTACCTTAGTCTTTGGTTCCAACAGTTCTGTCTCTAATTTCGACTTTTCCACCTGGAATCCTATCTTTTTATTCAATTTAAACACCTCTTGAATTTGAGTGTAATGTAACCAATCTTGCACCTTATTCTTTAATTTCTCCAAGCTCTGCAACCTCCAATTATCTCCAGTTTTTTCTATTATTTCCCAATATTTCAGCCAGCCGGCCTCCATATTGAGTCTTTTCCGGGCCTTAGCCTCCATTGGTGACAGCCATCTCGGGGTCTTACTTTCTAATATGTCTTTATATTTTGTCCAGACAATAAATATTGCTTTTCTGACAATATGGTAGCAAAGGCCCTTTGAATAGATAGGAAGAAACTGTGATGAAGTGTTTTGTAGGGACAAATCACAAAAGCGATGGTGCTGATTTTGGTAGTGGGCTGCATGTGCATGATATCTGTTGGAGGGGCAATTCCCCCCCCCCAACCTATACATAAATTCCTGCAACACTTTACACAAAGCAAAAACCCCGGTCTTTCCCCACCTCTAACTCTTTGCTACCTGCGTCTCCTCGCTGCCAAACCCATTTCACTATGAGCAGAGCAGATAGGCTCCCATATGCAGCTGATCGTAGAGGGTGGGGGAAGAGGCGAGTAGCCCACACTTCCGGTCATGCGGTGTGGGGCAGGAGCATCACGTGCAAGGCTCGGCCCCCAAACCTCTGGCACCCCCCCCTCTTTATTTATATTTTTTTGCACGGATGATCCACAGGCGCTGGATGAAACCTGAAGAAACGTGCACCTGGGAGGCTCAGGCACTGTTTTGGGAAGGGGGTGGGACAGCTCAGTCGCTAGAGCAGGAGGGTCTTGGGTTCGAGTCCCGCGCTGGGCAAAAGATTCTTGCATTGCGCAGGGTTGAGCTGGATGACCCCGGGGGATCCCTTCCAACTCTACGATTCCTCCTGCACTTAACCTTCTAAGGGTTAAAGTGAGCGGAGCAGGATGCCTAGACGGGAAGGCAATGGGAGGAAGAGGATGGGGCGGGGGGGGTTGTGGGGAGGGCGCCTCCTCCCCTCTGCTTTCCTGCCCGGTTCATCTGTCTCTTGCAAGCGCTGCGTGGGTGGTCCCACCTGGGATCTGGTGAGCGGGGGCGGGGCGGGGGGCATGCACATTGTTTGTGCATTTGGGTGAAGGGGAGCCCCAGGGCTGTGGGGGAGGGTGCAAGGTCGGGGGAGGGGTCAGGCAGGAAAATGACAGCTGGGGTGGGGGGCTGGAAACCCCCCTGGGGGGGTACCCAGGTTCCTACTCTAGCCCAATGGTTGCCATTAATTTGATTTTGAACTGATTTTGGAATGAACTTATTTTAGAATGTATTTCCATTAACTGATTGTGATTTTATGTAAACTGTGTTATTTTTACAGTTCCCAGCTTTGGCTGGGGAGGGCAGGATATAAATAATAAAAAAAATGTTATTATTATTACGCCACCCAGTGAATGCAATGCAAAGAAAGGGGAGGTGGATTGTTAACCTATTGGGAGGAGAGACCCCCATCTCATTTATCATTTCACCCCATCCTTCCTTCCTTCCTTCCTTCCATCCTACAGATTTATTTATTTGATTTTCCATGTTAAAATTTACACTCACACCACAACATATTACAGTATATAAAAAACAAGATTCCGAAGAATCTTCTGAACTTCCTTCCTTTCTTTCTTTCTTTCTTTCTTTCTTTCTTTCTTTCTTTCTTTCTTATGCGGGTGGAGGGAATTTGGAGCAGATACGCAGCGCCCTGGGAATTAGTTAGCTTTGCCACTTCCTGCGCTCCCTCCCCTGAATCGGAATTAAAAAGGGTCTCAGCGGACACTCGCTCGAGCGCACTTTCAGATGTGCAACCCCTGATGCGTGGAAGACGGGGTGGTGGGAGACCTTTTGCCGCTGAACCCAAAGAGCGACTGGAAGCTTGAACCCCCATGGATCGAAGACAAGAGGCGCCAACTGAAAAAATAATAATAATAACAATAATAATAATTTATTATTTATACCCCACCCACCTGGCTGGGTTTCCCCAGCCACTCTGGGCGGCTTCCAACAGAATATTAAAATATAGTGGTCTGTTAAACATTAAAAGCTTCCCTAAACAGGGCTGCCTTCAGATGTCTTCTAAAAGTCTGGTAGTTGTTGTTCTCTTTGACATCTGGTGGGAGGGCGTTCCACAGGGCGGGAGCCACTACCGAGAAGGCCCTCTGCCTGGTTCCCTGTAACTTGGCTTCTTGCAGGGATGGAACCACCAGAAGGCCCTCGGAACTGGACCTCAATTAGCAGGATTAATGTAATAACCTGCAGTTTTATAAGAGTATATATTTACAGAAGATAAATAAATTAGCAAGTAAAATGAACTTGAAGATGCAGAAGACATTAAAAAAATTAATTTAAGGGACCGCAGAAAGAGGGAAGAGGAAGTCACAATTTGGAAATGTTAAATAGATTGTAAAACTAATGAAATGTATATATTTGGAAAAATATAAATAAATAAATAAGAAAGACAACAATTCTCTAACAAGACCATATGTTGGCTTTGCAGGAATTGGTGTAACACCTCTGGTCAGCACAGTCTTTGAAGAAGAAGGGAGATTCAGAATATTCTTTGGAGCCCAGATCAGTGATGGACAAGCAAGACTTAGCTGGACCTACAAGAAGAAGGGTGTCCGATGACTTCAACATTGGGAACAGTGGAGAATTTTTGGAAAGAAGCATGCAGGAGATTCCGGGCGAGGAGGACGCCCTCAGCTCAGATGTTCAGCGCCAGAAGTTCAGGCATTTCTGCTACCAGGAGGCTGAGGGACCCCGAGAGGTTTGCAACCGGCTCCACCGCCTTTGCCGTGAGTGGCTGAATCCAGATCGACACACGAAAAATCAGATCCTGGACCTGGTGATCTTGGAGCAGTTCCTGGCTGTCCTCCCCCCGGAGATGGAGAACTGGGTCAGGGAATGTGGAGCGGAGACCAGTTCCCAGGCGGTGGCCCTGGCCGAAGGTTTCCTCCTGAGCCGGGCAGAGGAGAAGAAGCAGGAAGAGCAGCAGGTGAGAGCTTTATATCCTATTTTTTAGGGGGCAGGAGTGTGAGGGAGGGTACCCCATAATTGCTTTTGCCAGAAAAGAAATCTCACATAGAATGTTTCTGTGTCATTTGGTGGGATTTTATTTCCTAGGCTTTGGACTTTGAAGCTCAGTATTTGCTATCCAGGCCAGCTCAGGAAATATTGGTGTCTTGATAAATATTGGTGTACCACCGCTATTTAGTGATTGTTTGCATGATATATACAAAAGGTTGTTGAGTTTGTTTTTTTCCTTTGGTGAGAGTTGTTTTGGGGCTTTTCTTGGATTTTTAAAGCATTTTTTAATACAGTGGAACCTTGGTCTTCGAACTCCTCCGTAGTCGAATGTTTCAGTTCCCAAACCTCAAAAACCTAGAAGTAATTGCTCCGGTTTTCAAATGTTTTTCGGAAGCTGAATGTGCTATGCGGCTTCCGTTTTGAGTTTCGTTAATGTGTTGAGGCTTCCGCTTTTCGGTTTTTGAACGTTTCAGAAGTTGAACAGTCTTCTGGAACGGATTACGTTCGGAAACCGAGATTCCACTGTATAAAAAATCGCCGTGCTTGCCATACCCGTCTGGGTTCCCCCGGACATTTTTCCAGTTCAAGCAAAAATTTTCCCGGACATCATTTTGCAGCCCAATTCCAGGATATATCCGGGAAAACCAGGATGTATGGCAGCCCTTAATACCCTGCTATTTGGGTTGTTAATAATGTCAATAATAAGAATAATAATTCATGTACGGAAACCCCGCTTCCCGTCATTTGCCAACCTTTTCCAAAAGCATCCCAAGCCTTTTCCTCTGATATTCCTTTTCTAACCCTGCTCCCCATCCCCTGTTTCTGGCAAAGGGCCTGTTTGCAGAAGGGGCCGCTGGTTTCCCTGAGGCAGAGAAGACGCCTTTGGACGCCAGAGGGAGGCCCCTGAGATGGATGGTCGTGCAGGAGGGGGAACAAGGTGCCGCCATACCGGGTAAGGATTAACGAGGCAGGCCTTAACTTGGTCTGATCCGCTGCTATGCAATAAGAGGAGGAGGAGTTTGGATTTGATATCCCGCTTTATCACTACCCGAAGAAGTCTCAAAGCAGCTAACATTCTCCTTTCCCTTCCTCCCCCACAACAAACACTCTGTGAGGTGAGTGGGGCTGAGAGACTTCAGAGAAGTGTGACTGGCCCAAGGTCACCCAGCAGCTCCATGTGGAGGAGCGGAGACGCGAACCCGGTTCCCCAGATTACGAGTCCACCGCTCTTAACCACTACACCACACAGTGGATGCAATAAAGACAGGGCAGCCCAAGCTCTCAGACCATGTGGGCTGCAAGAATACTTTGACATGATACAGGGAGTGAAGACAAAATTTGATGCCGGCTCTCCAGGTGGCCCTGTGGGTTAAACCACAGAGCCTAGGGCTTGCCGATCAGAAGGTCGGCGGTTCGAATCCCCGTGACGGGGTGAGCTCCCATTGCTCGGTCCCTGCTCCTGCCAACCTAGCAGTTCGAAAGCACGTCAAAGTGCAAGTAGATAAATAGGTAGCGCTCCAGCAGGAAGGTAAATAGCGTTTCCGTGCGCTGCTCTGGTTCGCCAGAAGCGGCTTAGTCATGCTGGCCACATGACCCGGAAGCTGTCTACGGACAAACGCCGGCTCCCTCGGCCTATAGAGCGAGATGAGCGCCGCAACCCCAGAGTTGGTCACGACTGGACCTAATGGTCAGGGGTCCCTTTACCTTTTACCTCCAGCCATAGGACCTTCCCTCCCAAAGCTCAGCAACTCACTTACCCAGCTTTGGGAAGGCAGTGGAGGGCTGGCGGATGTCAAATGCTGCTGAGGGCCACCAAAAAAGGCCTCAAGGGCCACATGCGGCCTTTGGGCCATGCGTTGGACCACCCTGATTTAAAGGGCTTTGAGGTGGGGAGGCACTTTCTTCCAGTACTCTTCCACAGTGCTACATAAAGGTAAAGGGACCCCCAGTTGTGGCCAACTCTGGGGTTGCGGCGCTCATCTCGCTTTACTGGCCAAGGGAGCCGGCTTACAGCTTCCGGGTCATGTAGCCAGCATGACTAAGCCACTTCTGGCGAACCAGAGCAGCACACGGAAACGCCATTTACCTTCCTGCCGGAGCGGTACCTATTTATCTACTTGCACTTTGACGTGCTTTCGAACTGCTAGGTTGGCAGGAGCAGGGACTGATCAACGGGAGCTCACCCTGTCGCGGGGATTTGAACCGCCGACCTTCTGATTGGCAAGCCCTAGGCTCTGTGGTTTAACCCACAGCGCCACCCTTGCTACATAGTCCTGCTCTATTCTGCCTTGGTCAGACCACACCAGGAATACTGTGTCCAGTTCTGGGCACCACAATTTAAAAAGGATGTTGACAAGCTGGAATATGTGCAGAGGAAGGCGACTAAGATGATCAAGGGTCTGGAAACCAAGTCTTAGGAGGAACTGTTGAAGGAGCTGTGTATGTTTAGCCTGGAAAAGAGGAGACGGAGAAGAGAAATATCTGAAGGGTTGTCACATGGAGGAGGGAGCATGTCTCCTGCTTTGGAGGGTAGGACTCGAACCCATGGCTTCAAGTTACAAGAAAGGAGATTCCAATTAAACATTTGGGGGGGGGCGGACTTCCTGACAGAGCTGGTCGGCAGTGGAACAGACTCCCACGAGAGGTGGTGGACTCTCCTTCCATGGAGGTTTTTAAGTGGAGGCCACCTGTCATGGATGCTTTAGCTGAGTTTATTCCTGCATTGCAGGGGGTTGGACTAGATGACCCTTGGGTCCCTCCCAACTCTTAAGATTCTACGATTCTGTGTTATTTTCAGCTCTCAAAGCAGCCTAGGACCCACGTACCTACAGGACCGCCTCTCCTGGTATGCCCCGTGGAGGACCTTAAGGTCCACAAATGACAACATCTTGGAGGTCCCAAGTCACAAGGTGGTTAGATTGGTCTCAACTAGGGCCAGGGCCTTTTCAGTACTGGCCCCGACTTGGTGGAACGCTCTGTCACAAGAGACTAGGGCCCTGCGGGACTTGACATCTTTCCGCAGAGCCTGCAAGACAGAGCTGTTCCGCCTGGCCTTTGGTTTAGACTCAGTCTGACCCTTATGTTGCCCTCCCCTTCTGGTTTTGATCTATGGGCTACTATTAAAATGAGGCTGCATTTTAAATTGTATTTTTAACTTGTATTTTAAATTGGCCTCTCCCCCCCCCCATTATGTTTTTATTGAAATTTTGCTGGTATAAATATTATTGATTATTATTATTATTATTATTATTATTATTATTATTATTATTATTCCACATGGAGGAAAACGCTTGATTTGTGAGTAATGGTTTACAAGGAGTGGAGATGAATAAAAAAAAGTGGGGGTCCTAACATTCAGAGTGTATAAAACGGGTGAGACAATCTGTAAACTTACCTCAGTGTGTATTTTCGACATGTGGCTCTTGGCCTCTGAGGCAAACGCCTGCTGATGTCTCTTTCTCCCTCCTTGTCTCTCCCAGGTGATGGAATGATGCTGGCAGGACCATCTCAGCTGCATCTTCCTTCTGGCAGAGGGGAAGCAGTTGCCATGGCAACAGATCAGGTAGGGGAAAAGAAGGGCTGGGGGGGGCAGTCCCTCTGCCCGCTGCCACCTCCCTGGGCCTGACTGAATCTCTCTCCTTCCCTTTGATTCTTCCTTTGATGAAGGCTGTGGGTACCCATCATTCAGGTTTAAATTCTTATTTCATTTTTAGAAATAAAGATATACGGGGGGGGGAGCGAGAAAGTTAAGGGGCGAAAAGAACCACGATGTGTGTAAGAAAGAGAAAAAAATGAGTTAAAAAAACAAAATACAAAAGGGGAGAAAGTTAAGGAGTGAACAGAACCACGATGTGTGTAAGAAAGAGGGGGAAAAATGAGTTTAAAGAAACAAAGCCTAATGTAATATACTCCCATACATTCTTATATAAATTGATGCTGTGTTATTATCCTCTTTCTTTGCTTTTTTAAAATATTTTTTATTAGTTTTACATAAAGTTGTACACAATAAACATAGCCATTCCGGGGAAAAACCAAAAAGAGGTTCGTTTCGAACCTTCAGACCTCCTTCCTTCCTTCCATGGGTTCCATTTCTTAAAAATAAAAATAAAAGAATTCCTGCATCATTTACCATTATCTATCTGTGATATGATGATAGTAACCAAAGTTCATGTTACTTTACAAGTGTCATTGTATTCTTGCCAAGGATTTCAACTGCCTACAGTGGTCTTTCGAATATATTAAAAAGGTTATTCCAGTCTTTTGAAAATAGTTGGTCTTCCTGGCTGCTGATCTTTCCCGTCATGTTTTGCCATTTCTGCATATTCCATCGCCCAGTTTTCTCTGGGTGGTACTTCTCCTTCTTTCCATCTCTGGGCCAGAAGCATCATCCTAATACTTGTTGTTGTTGTTGTTATTATTATTATTATTATTATTATTTATACCCCACCCATCTGGCTGGGTTTCCTCAGCCACTCTGGGTGGCTTCCCACAGAATATTAAAATACAGTAGTCTATTAAACATTAAAAGCTTCCCTAAACAGGGCTGCCTTCAGATGTCTTCTAAGTCTGGTAGTTGTTTTTCTCTTTGACATTTGGTGGGAGGGTGTTCCACATGGCAGGTGCCACCACTGAGAAGGCCCTCTGCCTGGTTCCCTGTAACTTGGCTTCTTGCAGTGAGGGAACTGCCAGAAGGCCCTCAGTGCTGGACTTCAGTGTCCGGGCAGAACGATGGGGGTGGAGACGCTCCTTCAGGTATACTGGACCGAGGCGGTTTAGGGCTTTAAAGGTCAGCACCAACACTTTGAATTGTGTTTGGAAACGTACTGGGAGCCAATGAAGATCTTTCAGGACCGGTGTTATATAGTCTCGGCGGCCGCTCCCAGTCACCAGTCTAGCTGCCGCATTCTGGATTAGTTGTAGTTTCCGGGTCACCTTCAAAGGTAGCCCCACGTAGAGCGCATTGCAGCAGTCCAAGCGGGAGATAACCAGAACATGCACCACTCTGGCGAGACATTCTGCGGTCATACATTGATGTTAATAGCCTGCTACTTCCTGTATGAACTCATATTCCAAATGTTGTCAGATTTTATCCTGGTTTAAAATCCTGGACAATAAGACCCGGCCACCTTTCCCGTGTCTAGCCTTCTGGATTTTGCTGGTAGATCACGTTTGAAGGTAAAGGTAAAGGGACCCCTGACCATTAGGTCCAGTCGTGGCCGACTCTGGGGTTGTGGCGCTCATCTCGCTTTATTGGCCGAGGGAGCCGGCGTACAGCTTCCAGGTCATGTGACCAGCATGACTAAGCCACTTCTGGTGAACCAGAGCAGCTGCACAGAAACGCCGTTTACCTTCCTGCCGGAGCGGTACCTATTTATCTACTGGCACATTGACGTGCTTTTGAACTGCTAGGTGGGCAGGAGCAGGGACCGAGCAACGGGAGCTCACCCCGTCGCGGGGATTCGAACCGCCGACCTTCTGATCGGCAAATCCTAAGCTCTGTGGTTTAACCCACAGTGCCACTCATGTCCCAGATTATGTTTATTAAAGAGGAACATGTTAATCTTTCCCTTTTAGGGTCCCGTGTCCTTCCAGGATGTGGCTGTGTTTTTCACGGAGGAGGAATGGGCCCTGCTGGATCCTGACCAGAGAGGGCTGCACAAGGAAGTCATGGAGGAAAACTGTAAGGTCGTCGTCTCCCTTGGTGAGGCTCCATGTTTCTCTCGTGTTTCTGAGGTGATCCTGAAGCCATCCAGGATTTGGCTTGGCTTTTATTATCTGTTTTGTGTTCTTATTTTGTATTTTAATATCATAGCTGTCAGTGTTTCCCTTTTTTAAAGGAAAATTCCATTATTCCGAATAGGATTCCTCGCAAGAAAAGGGAAAAGTTGACAGCTATGTTTAATATTATGGAACTCCTGAAGAGCTTTGGGTAAAGGGCGCTATTCAAATTTTAATAAGTAAATACAGTCGTACCTTGGTTTTCGAACAGAATGCGTTCCGGAAATCCGTTCAACTTCCAAAATGTTTGGAAACCAAGGCGCGGCTTCCGATTGGCAGCAGGGGCGTCCTGCAGCCAATCGGAAGCCACGGAAGTTTCGCCGGGCGTTCGGCTTCCGAGGCAAAGTTCAACGTTGTTTGTGAACTAAGCTGTTTGAAAACCAAGGTACGACCGTAAATTTTAAAAAAATCAGATGTTGCTGGATTTCACCTCCTGCCGTCCCAGACTATTGATCCTTTTAACTTTTTGATGGTTTTATTGTTATGGCTTTGTTTTCATTTCTGCAAACCGCTTTGATATATATTTTTTAAGGATACTGCACTATAGAAATATAGATAAATAAATCTATATAAAATCTATATAAAATCCTTTAAAGGACTTAAAGGAAATGTCCAAAATTTTATTTTATTTATTTATTTATTCTAAAAATTGTAAAACAGCAGCAGCAGCAACAGCAGCCCATGAACATCAACATAAACTAACAGACTGGACATTTCTTCTGCTTTAGAATCTCATGCCCCATCCTGCTGGCATGTATAAATGCTAAAATTCAAACTTTATACATTAGTTTTTCTATAGTTCTGTAATTCCACCTTTCCATATAAATGAAAAGCCTAATTGAATTCTTTTTTAAAAATATTGCAAAATGGAGATTTTGTTAGATAGGATTGTGTGTGTGTGTGTGTGTGTGTATCCCATACAGTCATACCTCGGGTTACAGACGCTTTGGACTTGCGCGATTTCGGTTTGCGCACCGCGCCGAACCCGGAAGTACCAGAACGGGTTATTTCCGGGTTTCAGCCCTTGCGCATGTGCAGAAGCCCTAAATCCTGCTTTGCACAGAAGCGCCGAATCGCTACCCGCGCATGTGCAGACCTGGCGCTGCGGGTTGTGAACGTGCTTCCCGCACAGATCACGTTTGCAGCCCGAGCGTCCACTGTAGTTGCAAAACAACATCAGAAATGACATTTTGTTTTGTAAATTGCCGTTCTATCTTGCCTCAGATGTTTCAAGCACTAGAATATATACTATGTGATTTGGGGCTCCATTTCTATCTCAGTCTCTTTCCTGTTTTCATTGCAGCAGGTGGAAAGGGTTTTCAGCCTGGTTCCAGCCCCACCATGCCTCAAAGGACGCCTGCAAATGACAAACCATACCAGTGCCAGGAATGTGGAAAGAGCTTCGCTCACAAGTGGGTTCTCACTAATCATCAAAGAATTCACACAGGGGAGAAACCATACAAATGCTTGGAGTGTGGAAAGTGCTTCACTCGGAAGGTGAACCTCATCCCTCATCAGAGAATCCACACAGGGGAGAAACCATACCAGTGCTTGGAATGTGGAAAGACCTTCAGGCAGAAGAGATATCTCACTTCACATCAAACCATTCACACAGGACAGAAATTATTTCAGTGCTTAGAGTGCGGAAAGAGCTTCAGGCACAATATAACTCTAACGAATCATCAAAAATTTCACAAGGGAGAGACGCCGTATCAATGCTTAGAGTGCGGAAAGAGCTTCATCAGTATTTCTCACCTTACGTCCCACCAAACACTTCACACAGGGGAAAACCGTATCAGTGCCCTGAGTGCAAGAAACGCTTCACTCAGAAGAGTCACCTGACCTCTCACCAAACAATTCACACAGGGGAGACGCCATATAAATGTTCGGAGTGTGGGAAGTCCTTCCGTCTCAGCAGATACCTCACTTCTCACCAGAGAATCCACACAGGGGAGAAACCGTATCGGTGCTCAGAGTGTGGAAAGAGCTTTGGTGAAAAGAAAACTTTAGCTTCTCATCAAAAGAATTCACACCCTGGGGAAACTGTGTAATTGATTAGAGAGTGGAAAATACTTCTGTCTGAACAGTAATATCATCATTTGTAGACTGTCACCGTTGGAGATGCGATAAAAAGTTATTTACAAAAACAACAACCCAAAAACCAATGATCTCATCAAGTAATTCACCAGGCAGAATCCATATCAACATCACCTCAGCATTACTGCACACCTTCAACGTCATCGAAGAATCTACGCAGGGAAGAGACCAATCCTTTGGACATGGATAGCGCTTTATCCAGAAGATGCACCTCACTCTTCTGCACTCAGGAAAAACTGTAGAACGAGATTCTATCACTCACTGTAGAAATGAACGCCAGGCAGGGAGTCATATTGATGTGCTGACAACAAAGAAACCTGTTTTTAAAAAATTGATTTCCACTTGCTTTAGTAAAATAGAGAGAAATTATGGTCTATAGGTAATTGATTGGTGGTCCAAAATGTGGTATAAATCGTGACAGGGGACAGCTCCTGCTAGGCTTCCACTCGTCCCCACACAATGTCCCGCCAAAGTCTTTTTGGGAATTTAAGGGTCACCTTCCGAGGTGGGATATGAGTAGCACCTAAGCAGAAATGCTGTTTGCTCAGGTGAGTTTGTCTAGAGGGGAGGGAAAGGAGGGAAAGTGCAGAAACAGGCAGAGGAAGGAAAGGGTGTGTAGATTTGCTGAGTGTGCAAGATAGATCTTAAACACACACGAAACACCGTATTTTTTGCTCTATAGGACGCAGTTTTCCACCTCCAAAAATGAAGGGGAAATGTGTGTGCGTCCTATGGAGCAAATGCAGTCTCCTTGGCTTCAGCAATAGCAACGGGAAGCCTCCGAAACGCAGAGGGAGCACTCCCTCCACACTCCGGAGGCTTCGCGTTGCTTTTGCTGAAGCCTGGAGAATGAGAGGGGTAGGTGTGCACTGACCCCTCTCGCTCTCCAGGCTTCAGGCAGCTATCCGCAAGCCTTTGGAGCGCAGCAGGAGTTCCTGCCGCGCTCCGAAGGCTTGTGGATAGCAGCCAACTCCCGCTGCGCTCCCCGGGCTTCAGGCAGCTATCCGCAAGCCTTTGGAGCGCGCCTCCAGCCCCGCAAGCTCCGGGAGCGGCGGCAAGGCTGCGCGCAACCTTGCCACCGCTCCCGGACCTGTTCTGGGGCTGGGTCAGTGGAAGCTCAGGCTTCCCCTGCCCTAGCCCCGCTAGGGGCTGGGGGGAAAATAATTTCCCCCCCTTTATTTCCCACCCTAAAAGCTAGGTGTGCCCTATAGTCCGGTGTGCCCTGTGGAGCGAAAAATATGGTACATGCTCATTCATTCTCTCTCTCTCTCTCTTACACACACACACTGCCATGCATGGAGAGTCTGCCTCCCGCTCCGGTAACTTCACAGATAAGAATTAACAAGCAGCTTATATTTTATAGTTCTTTTATTCAGGCATCAGCTTGCAAGCAACAATCCACATCCCTCCCCAAAGAGAGCAGTTGGCTTCTCTAAATCCTCGTGCTTCTGTCTTCCGCAGCAGCCGAGGTGCAACGGGAAATTCCTCCTCTTCTCTGTGTCCCCAGAGTTGTCCGTGACTGGACCTAACGGTCAGGGGTACCTTTACCTTTATAAGACCGACAACCGACCTCAGCAGAGCCAGCAGGGGGATTTTATTTTATTTTTTGCTTGAGGCAGAATAGGAAATGGGGGCCCGCTCCCTAAGTCAAAGTGTGGAATATCCAAAGCTAGGGAAGTTATTCTGGCCCCTCAGGCACAAGATCCCACAAGCGCCTCTTCCCCCTCCATGCCAGTAAAATAAAACTACATGACCATACATTTGCTGCCTTGTCAATCATGCCCCAAATCATCAGTCTCCGCCCAACCGTCCAATGGTAGGGCTGGTTCTGCCCATCAGGTTCTCCCCCCAATTTACCATTCCATCAGGCTAGACTGGAGAGAAGAGGCTTCCTATTGGCTCAGCTTTTGGCACTGGTCATGACGAGGAGACTGCAATTATGCTTGAACGTGCTTTTCTCCTCCTCCCTCCTGATCCTTTTTCTTTTTGCGTTGTGTCTTTTAGATTGTTAGCCTGAGTTGAAGGACTGTTTGAGAGCAGGGTAAAAAAAATGCTTTAGATAAGCAAGTAAAAAAATAATAAACGGTGTACATTATGCCTGTGTATATTAGCAATTGGTTTTCTCGAAACCTGTTTGATCTCTTAACCCATTTCCCTTTGCCAGCCGATTCGAAAGGTAAAAAAATTGTGTGCGTGCACATTTCTTCAGATACCAAATATCTGAAGAAGTATGCATGCACACGAAAGCTTATACCAAGAACAAACTTAGCTGGTCTCTAAGGTGCTACTGGACAATTTTATATATATATATATAGAGAGAGAGAGAGAGTGGTATCTTGGTTTACATACGCTTCAGGTTACATACGCTTCAGGTTACAGGCTCCGCTAACCCAGAAATAGTGCTTCAGATTAAGAACTTTGCTTCAGGATGAGAACAGAAATTGTGCAGCAGGAGGCCCCATTAGCTAAAGTGGTGCTTCAGGTTAAGAACAGTTTCAGGTTAAGTACGGACCTCCGGAACGAATTAAGTACTTAACCTGAGGTACCACTGTATCTATATCGACTGCGTCAGACCAACATAGCTACCTACCTGAATCTCGATCCTAAAAGGTATAGATAGCCTGGTTAATATTCAGACTAGGCTGGCGCATCACATAGCATTTCTTATTTATCCCTATTAAATGATACTATGTTATTATTGCCCGTGAGATCGTCGCTTCAATATATTCCACAGTTTCTCTGTTTTTCAAATCAAATGTTTGAAAGGATTGGTTCTCAGGCGGTTGCCTGATCCGCTCGGGTGCACAAGATAGATGCACATAGACCCCACTGGGGTCTGAACTAGCGGCAGTGATTGCTGGCCCATTTAGGGAAGTGGGGCAGTGCCAGTGGTCTAACGTGGCATGATATGGCAGCTTCCTGAGCTCCTGATGTTGGAAGACCCCAAGGGAGACAAAAGCCCTTTTGACAGCACAGCGTTGAGGTCATTCGCTCCCAATAGAGGAAGATTTCCCAAACTTGGGCCTTCAGTTGTTTCTGGACTACAGTTCCCATCATCCCTGACTGCTGGTCCCTCTAGTTAGGGAAGATGGGAGTTGTAGTCCAAACAGCTAGAGGAGACCCAAGTTTGGGGAAACCCTGCACTAGATGCAGGAAGGAACAACAACAACTTATTTATACCCTGCGCATCTGGCTGGGTTTCCCCAGCACCTCTGGGCGGCTCCCAACAGAATATTAAAAACACAATAAAACATCAAACATTAAGAACTTCTCTAAACAGGGCTGGCTTCAGATGTTTTCCAAAAGTCAGATAGTTGTTTATTTCCTTGACATCTAATGGGAGGGAGTTCCACAGGGTGGGTGCCACTACCGAGAAGGCCCTTTCCCTGGTTCCTTGTAAGCTCACTTCTTTCAGGGAGGGAACTGCCAGAAGGCCCTCGGAGCTGGACCTCAGTGTCTGGGCTGATCGATGGGGGTGGAGACGCTCCTTCAGGTATTCAATAAGTTGATGCTACCAGTGACTACAGATGGGTGGCATATAAATAATAAATATATTATTACTGTTATTATGACTACTACTATAACCACGAGGGCTGAGCTCTGCTGCTCCACTGTGCCAGGGCTTCTTTTCCTCCCCACAGGAATTTTCATTAACGTTTTCACAATAAAATAAAATTATATCTAGAAAAAATGAGAGAACAAAAATGAAAAATGACAGAACAAAAGTAAAGAGAGGAATGCAAAGGAATGAAGAAAAACAACAACAACAACAATAATAATTTATTTTCAGTATACCCTGTCCATCTGGCTGGGTTTCCCCATCCACTCTGGGCGGCTTCCAACAAAACACTGAAATACAATAACCTATTAGACATTAAAAGCTTCCCTAAACAGGGCTGCCTTCAGATGTCTTCTAAAAGTTTGGTAGTTGTTTTTCTCTTTGACATCTGGTGGGAGGGTGTTATTATTTAGATATAATAAAACAAACTAATATAATATAATAATATTGTGTGTGTGTGTGTATTCCTCTACGTGTTTGTTTTATTATTTCTAGAGGGATACACCCACCCACCCAAATATTATTATATTATATTATATTATATTATATTATATTATATTATATTATATTATATTATATTATATTATATTATATTATATTATATTAATTATATTATATTATATTATATTATATTATATTATATTATATTATATTATATTATATTATATTATATTATATTATATTATATTATATTATATTATATTATATTATATTATATTATGTGTTTGTTTTATTATTTCTAGAGGGGGATCTCTCTCTCTCCCTCTATTCTAATTAAACCCTGCGCAACGGCTTCTGTAGAGTTAAAACGAGGCGGCCTTCGTTTCCTAGAGAGGACGTGAATGTGGCGAGGAAGGGAGGTGCGGGTCGCGAGGTCCTCCGGAGCCAACGCTCTTCCCTCCTGCCCAGCCCCCAGTGCGCATGCCCGGTCCTTCCAGCGGCTTTTTCTGCCTCTTCCCGAGGGGCTTCGGGGACCTGGTGAGCTCCCGCAGACCCACCTCTGGCCCCGGTGCATGTGGGTGCCGGGGAGCCCCAGGGCTGCAGGGAGAGGGGGGGCAGGAGAGGAGACCCCCTGGGTGGGGAGATGGGCGGACCCCCAGCAGCCGGCAGGGGCTGAATGGAGGGGGAGAAGGAGGGAGTCCTTGGTTTATTGGGGGGAGGAGAGCAGCTCCCCCAATAAAATATTTCATAGAATTGTAGGCATGGAAAGGGACCCGGGGGGGAATAACGCAGCAATAACAAAAATAATAGCAGGTAAAGAAGATCGCACTGGTGGAGGGAAGTACTGGGCTGTGGGGCAGGGAGGTGAAGGGGTTAATTGAAATTGCTAAAGATTGGTATAGGATTGAAGAGATTTAAATTTGAATAAAGATTCTACAGTGTTACATATGCTTCAGGTTACAGACTCCGCTAACCCAGAAATAGTGCTTCAGGTTACAGACTCCGTTAACCCAGAAATAGTGCTTCAGGTTACAGACTCCGTTAACCCAGAAATAGTGCTTCAGGTTACAGACTCCGCTAACCCAGAAATAGTGCTTCAGGTTACAGACTCCGCTAACCCAGAAATAGTGCTTCAGGTTAAGAACTTTGCTTCAGGATGAGAACAGAAATTGTGCTGCGGCGGCAGCAGGAGGCCCCATTAGCTAAAGTGGTGCTTCAGGTTAAGAACAGTTTCAGGTTAAGAACAGACCTCCAGAACGAATTAAGTACTTAACCTGAGGTACCACTGTATAAGGAAAGCAGATAGCAGCAAGAAATGTCAGGTAAACGTAAGGGACAGGAGATCAGTGTACAGTGGTACCTCAGGTTACAGATGCTTCAGGTTACAGACACCGCTAACCCAAAAATAGTACCTCGGGTTAAGAACTTTGCTTCAGGATGAGAACAAAAATTGTGCTCCGGCGGCAGCGGGAGGCCCCATTAGCTAAAGTGGTGCTTCAGGTTAAGAATAGTTTCAGAACCTCCAGAACGAATTAAGTTCTTAACCTGAGGTACCACTGTAAATGAAAACATGACACTTATGGTTTTGTTATATATGATTTTATTTTGGAGCTGTCTGTTTATTTTGGAGTTGTTGTAAAGAATGTATATTATGTGAATACAATAATAAAGGATTTTTTTTTAAAAAAAGGAAAGGGACCCAGGGGTCATCTAGTCCAACCCTCTGCAGTGCAGGAATCTCAGCTAAAGCATCCATGACAGGTGGCCATCCAATCTCTGCTTGAAAAACCTCCAAGGAAGGAGAATCCACCACCCTCTGAGGGAGACCGTTCCACTGTCAAACAGCTTTTGCTGTCCGAATGTTTTTCCGGCATTGCCATTCAAGTTGTGTCAATTGAATAATAATAATAATAATAATAATAATAATAAGAAGAAGAAGAAGAAGAAGAAGAAGAAGTTGTGTCAATTGAATAATAATAATAATAATAATAATAATAATAATAATAATAAGTTGTGTCAATTGAATAATAATAATAATAATAATAATAATAATAATAAATAATAATAATAATAATAATTTATTTATACCTCGCCCTCCCCGGCCAGGCCAGCTGACACCAATAAAATCACAGTAAAAACATAATTGGGAGGGAGACCAATTTAAAATACAGGTTAAAATGCAATTTAAAATGCAGCCTCTTTTAAAAGTAGCCGATAGATCAAGACCGTAAGGGGAGGGCAACATAATGGTCAGACTGAGTCCAAACCAAAGGCCAGTGGGGTGGGGCTCACCTGCTCAAACCCCAATATTTTATTCTAGTTGGCACCCCTGGCAGTTGATTCACCTGGGTGCCACCTCCCTACAATACCCACACCAGAAAGCCAAGCTTCTTTCTCTCTTCCAGTAAGTCGGGAAGCCGCTTTGATGCGCCCTGTGGAATCACAGACTTGCAGAATTGGAAGTCATCTAGTCTAGGATTCTTTTGCCCAACGTGGGGCTCGAACCTTCGACCCTGAAGGTTACATACGCTTCAGGTTACAGACTCCGCTAACCCTGAAATAGTGCTTCAGGTTAAGAACTTTGCTTCAGGATGAGAACAGAAATTGTGTTCCGGCGGCGCGGCGGCAGCGGGAGGCCCCATTAGCTAAAGTGGTGCTTTGGGTTAAGAACAGTTTCAGGTTAAGAACAGACCTCCGGAAGGAATTAAGTACTTAACCTGAGGTACCACTGTAATAATTTGCTAACAGAACTGTGTGTTGGATTTGCAGGACTTGGAAGCACCTCTGGGAGTTGCACTGAGAGAAAATTAGCAATAAAGGGACAAGTCCCTTTGAATCCGGTGAGGGCATTCCAGCAACATAGATCAATGATGGAAGAAGATTCAGGTGAACCTGAAGCAAGAAGGGGCCCCCAAACCACCAAGACTGGGAGCAGTGAGGAATTGTGGGGGGAAACCATGGAGAAGAGATTGAGGGAAGAGAACACCCTCAGCTCAAATGTGCCGCAGCAGCAGTTCAGGAAATTCCACTACACAGAGGCCAAGGGTCCCCGAGAGGTTTGCAGCCGACTCCACCATCTCTGCCGTCAGTGGCTGAAGCCAGAACTTCACACAAAATCTCAGATCCTGGACCTGGTGATCCTGGAGCAGTTCCTGGCTGTCCTCCCCCCGGAGATGGGGAACTGGGTGAGGGAATGTGAAGCGGAAACCAGTTCCCAGGCGGTGGCCCTGGCTGAAGGTTTCCTCCTGAGCCGGGCAGAGGAGAAGAAGCAGGAAGAGCCGCAGGTAAGAAACTTTAATTCTAGGGCTAAGAATTCCAGGGAAGATAGGCTTTTATGTACTGAGCTGAATCCTAGAACCATAGAATCCAGAATGCAGCAGTCTGATTGGTCTGCAGGAGCCACCCAATCCAGCTTCAGGTGGAAGTGAATCAGCGACCTGATTGGCCTGTAGGAGCAGCCAATCAGGCTCCTGGATGAAGTGAATCAGCAACCTGATTGGCCGGCAGGAGCAGCCAATGATGCTCCTGGATGAAGTGAATCAGCAACCTGATTGGCATGCAGGAGCAGCCAATGAGGCTTCTGGAGGAGGTGAATCCGCAACATGATTGGCCAACAAGAGCAGCCCGGAATTAGCCAATCACGGGGGGCCCGTTGTGTAAATAATGTATATATAGCTAGACGTTTTGGGGAAAGTTTCATTCATTGCTACTATGAGCTGGAATAAAGAGCATTAAATTCACACTCGACTCCGAGTATATTTTATATGCTTAATTGATTTTATTAATTGCCCAACTCATTTTGTTTTTGTTTTTTCCCAAATAATAATTCCCCCCCACACACTATAAATAAAGTGGTCAGTTATCCCCACTATAAATAAAGTGGCCACTATAAATAAAATGGTCAGTAGAGATCATGTTGATAAGACAACTCACTTTGTGAGTTTGTCCAAATCCCTTTTCTGTTTCTTAACCCCAATCCCTCTTTCGATCTTCCTTTCTGTTTCAGGTAAATGGTATGTCGTCAGAAGGGACCAACGATTTCCATGAGGCAGAGAAGACTCTCTTGGACGCCGGAGAGCATTCGCTGAGACAAGGGACAGCCCAGGAGGAGGACAGAGGGGCCTCCTTGCTGGGTAAAGATTAACCTCCTCTTTATTGTTTATGCAAGGAATTAACGGGATTCTTTTAGGTTCTGCTGAATCTTAGGGAGGCAGGACATTTTCTTCCAATTAAACAATAGGTTTATTTTTAATAGAATTGAAATGTAAAATGCACATGAATGTCCACACTATAAATGTAATGTGAGACATTTTGTAACGTCAAGGTGTACTCAAGATTTGTGTCACTAAACCTCCGAGAAATTTTTTTGCCACTGACTGATGGTGTTTTTTTAAAAAAATTATTTATACTTTTCAAATTTATAAATTTCACTGATTTGACATTTCAAAACTTGATTTCCTTCCTCCTCTTTCTGCGGTTCCTTAAATTTATTTTTTAATATCATAGAATCATAGAATCATAGAGTTGGAAGAGACCACAAGGGCCATCGAGTCCAACCCCCTGCCAAGCAGGAAACACCATCAGAGCACTCCTGACATATGGTTGTCAAGCCTCTGCTTAAAGACCTCCAAAGTAGGAGACTCCACCACACTCCTTGGCAGCAAATTCCACTGTCGAACAGCTCTTACTGTCAGGAAGTTCTTCCTAATGTTTAGGTGGAATCTTCTTTCTTGTAGTTTGCATCCATTGCTCCGTGTCCGCTTCTCTGGAGCAGCAGAAAACAACCTTTCTCCCTCCTCTATGTGACATCCTTTTATATATTTGAACATGGCTATCATATCACCCCTTAACCTCCTCTTCTCCAGGCTAAACATGCCCAGCTCCCTTAGCCGTTCCTCATAAGGCATCGTTTCCAGGCCTTTGACCATTTTGGTTGCCCTCCTCTGGACACGTTCCAGTTTGTCAGTGTCCTTCTTGAATTGTGGTGCCCAGAACTGGACACAGTACTCCAGGTGAGGTCTGACCAGAGCAGAATACAGTGGCACTATTACTTCCCTTGATCTAGATGCTATACTCCTATTGATGAGGCCCAGAATTGCATTGGCTTTTTTAGCTGCCGCGTCACACTGTTGGCTCATGTCAAGTTTGTGGTCAACCAAGACTCCTAGATCCTTTTCACATGTACTGCTCTCAAGCCAGGTGTCACCCATCTTGTATTTGTGCCTCTCATTTTTTTTGCCCAAGTGCAATACTTTACATTTCTCCCTGTTAAAATTCATCTTGTTTGTTTTGCCCCAGTTCTCTAATTTGTCAAGGTTGTTTTGAAGTGTGATCCTGTCCTCTGGGGTGTTAGTCACCCCTCCCAGTTTGGTGTCTCTGCAAATTTGATCAGGATGCCCTTGAGTCCATCATCCAAGTCGTTGATAAAGATGTTGAATAACACCGGGCCCAAGACAGAACCCTGTGGCACCCCACTAGTCACTCTTCTCCAGGATGAAGAGGAACCATTGATGAGCACCATTGATGAGCACCCTAGGATATCTTCTGCATATCCTAACTAACTTAATTTGCTCATTTATTCATCTTCTTTAAATATATACAATTATTACAATAATCCGGCCAATGTTTTTATCTCTTTACAATTTATCTGCAAATATTCAATAAACCAATGCCATTTTTAAAATAAAAAGTTTGTTAACTTGATTTTATTATTCTTCCGGTAAGTTTCTCCATTTCTTCATATTCCTTAAGTTTATGTATCCATTCTTCCTTTGCTGGGACTTCTGCTTCTTTCCATTTTGGGGCAAGTAAAATTCTTGCCTCTGTAGTCACATACATGAAGAAATTTCAACACAGTTTAGGTAGTTCTGTTCCTATAATTCCCAAGAGAAAAGCTTCTGGTTTTCTGTTATTTCAAACATTCTTTTCATTTCATCATATATCATTTCCCAGTAAGCCTTAAACCTTACTACAAAATCCATGGATTTTTTTGTCCTGATCTCAGGGATCTTCTTGTGGAATGGAATGGTGCCGGCAATATCTACTCAGCCATCTCTTCTTGGTGCTGGAGGTGAAACAGCTGTTGTGACACCTGACCAGGTACGGAGACGGACCTCTGGGAAGAGAGTCTAGGGGCTGTCAGGGTGTATTTCCCCTCCTCACCTCCTTGGGTGCAAAGAATTCCTCCTTCCCTTTCTTCCTGCCAGAGCTGCCCACAAGGAAGACCGGGGAAGCCACTCAATACAGTTTGTGTTCTACAGGAAATAATAGCATCATAGAATTGTAGAGTTGGAAGGGACCACGAGGGTCATCTAGTCCAACCTCAGGAAGATGGAGCCATCCCATATGTGCTACCAGCCTCCTTTCCTTGACTAGTGTGATTTTAAGGTCTTAGGTAAAGGGACCCCTGACCATTAGGTCCAGTTGTGGCCGACTCTGGGGTTGCGGCTCTCATCTCGCTTTACTGGCCGAGGGAGCCGGCGTACAGCTTCTGGGTCATGTGTCCAGCATGACTAAGCCGCTTCTGGCGAACCAGAGCAGCGTACAGAAACGCCGTTTACCTTCCCGCCAGAGCGGTACCTATTTATCTACTTGCACTTTGATGTGCTTTCGAACTGCTAGGTTGGCAGGAGCAGGGACCGAGCAATGGGAGCTCACCCCGTCGTGGGGATACGAACCGCCGACCTTCCGATCGGCAAGTCCTAAGCTCTGTGGTTTAACCCACAGCACCACCCACATCCCTTTAAGGTCTTAGATATATAATAAATGTACCAACCAGAAGACTGACCTGAAAATATTTTTGATTCCCAAACTGACCAAATGTTTTCCCTGCAAGGAGGGGTGGGTCAGGGAGCCTTCCCATTGTCTCAGGAATTGAGTAATCAGCATTTTAATGGGTGACAGACTATCATGGGTGACAGGCTATCAGGAAAGACAGTCAGGAAAGGCAAACAGAAAAAAACATTCAAATTTCTGCTGTAGACCACCCCTTCTGTGATGTATGTATGATGATGTATGGAGGGGTGGTCTTGAGCTCCAGGGCAGGGGATTTAAAATGTCTATATAAGGGTGGACACACCTGGGTCCTTTCCTGCGTGTGAGGGGAGCACCCTGTTGCAACAGAACAATAAAGATCAGGCTTACGAGCTGCTTTGCTTCTCAATATTCTCTGGTTGGCCTCTGTTACTTTCTCCTACCAATAGGAAACCTACGTAAGGAATCTATATGGGCTCTTGGATACCCCTTAAAGTAAAAGGGCAGATTTTGTTTACAACACTAGCCATCCAGATTTTGCTGGTAGGTAATGTTTACAATAAAGAGGAAACTGTTTTCTTTCACTTTTAGAGTCCAGTGTCCTTTGAAGACGTCGCTGTGTGTTTCTCAAATGAGGAGTGGGCTGTGCTGGATTCTCACCAGAAAGTTCTGCATAGAGAAGTCATGGAAGAGATCGTTGCCTCTCTCGGTAAAGGGCTTTGCTTGTTTTTATACTGTATTTTGTTCTGTGAACTGCCTTGAGATCTTACAAAGAAAAGCAGTATATAAATTTACAGTCATACCTCGGGTTGAAATTGCTTAAGGTTGAGCACTTCCGGGTTGCGCTCCGCGGTGACCCAGAAGTAACGGAACTCATTACTTCCGGGTTTCGCCACTCCGCATGCACAGACAGTCAAAATGACGTCACACGCATGCGCGGAAGTGGCGAATCGTGACCTGCAGATGCGTGTTGCGTTTACTTCAGGATGTGAACAGGGCTCCGGAACGGATCCCGTTCGTATCCAGAAGTACCACTGTACTAAATAAATAAATTTAATAATAAAACAAGTCTTTTCAGTTTCTCCTTTATCAGAAGCATTGATTGAACTTGTTCAGTGATTTGAGACTCCCCATTTCTTCCTCAGGCTCTAATTGCCACAGAAAGAACTTCCGCCGGAGTCCTGCCATTACTCCCTATCAAAGAATTCACACCGGGGGAAATCCGTATCAGTGCTTGGAATGCGGAAAGAGCTTCAGGCAGAAAATAACCCTCATCCGTCATCAAAGAATTCACACCGGGGAAAATCCGTATCAGTGCTTGGAATGCGGAAAGTGCTTCAAACAGAAGATCACTCTCATCCATCATCAAAGAATCCACACAGGAGAGAAACCATACAAATGCTTGGAATGTGGAAAAGACTTCCTTCGCAGTTCTTACCTTACTTCCCATCAGAGAATCCACACAGGGGAGAAGCCGTATAAATGTTTGGAATGTGGGAAGAGTTTCACGAGGAAGAGAAGTCTCACTTCTCATCAGAGTATTCAGGCAGGGGAGAAAGTATATAAGTGCTGGGCTTGTGGAAAGAAGTTCTGTCATGTTTCGTACCTTACTTCCCATCAGATAATCCACACAGGGGAGGAGCCCTATAAATGTTTGGAATGTGGGAAGAGCTTCCATCACAGTTCTCGCCTTACTTCTCATCAGAGAACTCACACGGGAGAGAAACCATATCAGTGCTCGGAGTGTGGGAAGAGCTTCACTCGGAAGAGGAACCTCACTTCTCACGGAAGAATTCACACAGGAGAGAAACCGTATCAATGCACTGAATGTGGGAAGAGCTTCCGACACAGGCCGCACCTTATTTCCCATCAGAGAATTCATACTGGGGAGAAACCTTATCAGTGTTTGGAGTGTGAAAAGGGCTTCTACCTTAGTTCTAGCCTAACTCGCCACCAGAGAATTCACAGAGGTAGATAGGCACTTACTTCCACATGTGGTGGACTTGTATAAAGTAACTGTTTTTTTTGAAATGTGTATTCTGATCATTTCCGAAACATTTTCAATGACCCACAAATAGCACTCCCCCCAAATTTTGAATGGAGTTGGGGGTGTATACAAAGATTTTTTTTGGGGGAGGGGGACCATGGCAGCTGCCCATCTAAGATGGCCTGTGAGACAGAGTTGTTCCGCCTGGCCTTTGGCTTGGAATCAACTTGATCCCCTCCCCCTCTTTCTTTTTTCGTTTCTCCTCCTGTGATGGAACTCCTATTTGGGGACTTCCCTGGCTTTTTTCTGGCCCACGTAGGACCAGTCTGGATAGTTGGCCTTGGTGAAGATTCGACATTTTCATCCCCCAAAAAGTTTTTGAGTTGAGTTTCCGTTGAAATGATTGCATTTTAATGTTTTAATGTTGTATTTTAATCTTGTTTTTTAAGTTGTATTTCAATCAATTTGTTTTTATAACGGTTGTTAGCCACCCTGAGCCTGGTCTTGGCTGGGGAGGGCGGGGTATAAATAAATTATTATTATCTAACCATTGTGGGAGATCAGAAGACAGATACCAAATTTGGGGACTCACACTAACAGAGAAGTTAACAAATGTGTGCACTTTGCAATCCGTGCTCCAAAGATTCATTTTATGTAACGTTCTGCTTTGTTCCACATATAGCTTCTAATAAAGCTGGTTATCCCCTCTTAGTGGTGCAGCAATAAAACTACTAGCGCATTTGCAAAGCTAACCTGGGTCTGGTATGGTTTCAAGTGGTCTGGTATGATTTCTATGTGCTGAGATTCCTGCATTGCAGGGGGTTGGACTAGATGACCCACAGAGCCCCTTCCAACTCTATGATTCTGTGAAATATACATGGCCTTCTGTGGGTGGGGTATCCTAGGTTAATTTCCTCCCCCCCCTTAATATTATTTAGCATCATCTGTGATGAAAATTAAAAAGGAATGTTAATGAACAACAAGTACGCATTGTGTTCAGAATCTGTGAGCTGGTTTCTGTTTTGCACCTCACCCTTCATATTATTGTGTTTATCGTTCTTTTGTATATTTTGTATATATCTAAGTTGTTTTCAAAATTTCACACAGGTGGAAAACTAGTGTATGGAGTGTGTGGACTGTCATATGACTGTAAGGTGAGAGAACGTTCTCTAAAATTTTAATCACATTACTAAAAAAGAAAAAAAGCCAATTCAGTGTCACGCTTTTAGATATTCAAATATACCGTATTTTTCGCCCTATAAGACGCACCAGACCACAAGACGCACCTAGTTTTCAGAGGAGGGAAACAAGAAAAAAAATATTCGAATCTCAGAAGCCAGAACAACAAGAGGGATCGCTGTGCAGTGAAAGCAGCAATCCCTCTTGCTGTTCTGGCTTCTGGGATAGCTGCGCAGCCTGCATTCTCTCCATAAGACACACACACATTTCCCCTTACTTTTTAGGAGGGAAAAAGTGACTCTTATAGAGCAAAAAATACGGTAATTCACTGTTGAGTCTTAGTTGACATCCTACAACACCAGTTACTTGATTGTTACTTTACTTTTCTAAATCAGGGCAAAATTGAAAGAATGGAATGGGTATTTTTTTACAGAATAAAAGATGGTCAGACAAAATTTATATTTTTATTTGCATATATATTTTATTTTATTTGTATTTATTTTATTTCTTTTATAAACCAGGCCAAACCAGAAAGAATGGACAAAAAAAAATATTAAACAAAAATATACAATTTTTTTTGCAACGGAAATTTGCATTTCTTTTATAAACCAGAAAGAATGGACGACATTTTACGGAGCAAAAAAATATTACTGAATGAAATTTATATTTTTTGCAAGGAAAATTTGCATTTCGGCGTTCTCTGGCAAAAGAGACACCCTTTGTCTTTGAAGAGCATCGCCAGCCGTGCCGAACGCGCTTTCGGATGGCACACTTGTTCCTGGGATAGCCAAAAACTTCTTTGCAAGCACCTTCAACATCGGAAAGGAAGCCTCATTTGCCTTCCACCACGTCAGAGGGCATTCATCGAAGCTCACTCGCGGCATAGCCATATACTCATTGAGCTCTTTTTCTGCTTTCGATGCATCATCCGCCAACGCCTCTTCTGACTCTAAACCGAAGATTTTTGCCAACGTCCTTTTTCTGGGTGGAGCAGGGCCAGTACTGGGCTCCATCGAAGCAGCACGCAGACTCCCTTGCAAGTCCGCCATCTTCTTCACGGCCTCCTGCCTGACAGCCTCAGGAGCTTCCAAGAAACGCAGGCGAAACCTGGGGTCGCACAACGTGGCCAGGCCTAAAGTGGTTGCGGTGGGGGCGCTGTCGTACTTTTCCGACAGCGCACCCAAAATTTTACGTTTAATGTCCTTCAGCAGCACACTGTCTCCCTCCTGGGGCTGGAGACTTTTCTTAATTTGCCTGTAAAGAGGCAGAACAGACGAGGCCGTGACGTAACTGCTTCCGCTTAGAGTCGTGGTGAAATCCTCTAACACGGTAGCTGCAGACACAAAGTCTTGGACCGCCGAGATGTCGTCACCTTCCAACATCAAATGTCTTTTAGACGGATAATCCATAAGTGCCTTGGACAGCGGGAGCTGGTTTTCGAGAAAACTTCGGCACAGCTTGAGCAGACTGCACCACCTTGTGGGACAAGCGCTTGGCAAACCCACCTTGTCCATCTCGAGCATCTCCTGAGCTCTGGTGAGGTCTCGCCTCATTTTCCAGCTACGGCAAATACTGTTTTGCAGCCTTTTCAGCCTCCTGACCGCCCTTCTCAGTTGCGTCAGGTTCAGAGCTCGGTTCACCCCGTCGTTTATATTGTGAGCGAAGCAAGAGATGTGCTCCAAGCCCAGCTGCCAGACCGCTCTGAGGATATTGGCGCCGTTATCCGTCATGCTGCAAAATACGTTCTTCACGTCGATGCCCCACTCCGATAAGGCGTCTCTGAGCATTTCACAAAGAACGGCTGCGCTGGGCTCCTTCCCAAAATGTCTACAGGCCAAGCAAGCGTCGGTCAACTTCCACTCGTCCGAAATGAAATGGACCGTCACTGCCACAAATGGAGCGCCGGCTACGGACGTCCAGCAATCAGTTGTGACGGCCAGTTCAGTCTTAGTTAGCCTGCATATTTCTCTCTTCATTTTCTCCACCGTGTCCTTGTACAGCTTTGGAACTCCTGCGGTAGCGAAGTAATTTCTACCGGGCAACGGATATTCCGGTTTTAGAGTGTTCACCATCTGGATAAATTTGGGGTGGTCCACTGTGTTGTAAGGCTCCAGGCACGTAGCCAGATACTCTGTGATCGCCTGAGTACAAGAGCTCAAGCTCTTAGGATTGAGCGGCTCAGAATCCGACGCGGTGTTTTGCTGTTCACTAGGACTTTCTGCAACAGTTACTGCAGCACTCGCTGATGCCGTCTCAGCCGCCGGCTCCATGGCATTTTTATGCGAAGGGACGGAAACGTCTCTGGACGAAGAAGGCAGCTCCCTAAATTCCAGAGGGTGTTTGAGCTGGAGGTGTTTGCCGAGGTTGGAGGTGTTTCTGCCTTTTGCGGACACAGAGTGCAAACATATTTTGCAAATCGCGACCCCGTCGGACACCACGTGGCCGCTCTCGTCTGCAGGCAATCCAAAATGCACCCAGAAAGGACTCTTTGTTTTTCGCTTGTCTACCAAATGGTGGTATTCGGGACATTCCAGAGCACGGGGATGAGGCGGGCTGGAGACAAATAGAGGGGGAACATTTTGAACAAAAATAAAACTCTAAAGCCGATGCATTTGATTTATGAAAATGTACTTGATGAAAGCATGCTTCAGCTACACCTTTGCAGATTTCAGGACAACATATTAATACCAATGTCAGTACATGAAAACTGATATATTGATGTCAATATATTAATGTAAATACATTGGTGTCAATATATTAATTTGTTATCAATGATAACAAATATGTGAGAAATCAAGGGGGCGAGAGGAGAATTGAAAAGAGTTCTAGGGTAGGAAGTGGGACTGTTGAACATGCTTCTAGTTTGTAAGACCACTGCCTTGCCAGAGAAAGCTCTGTGGCCTATTTTTCTGTCCCGGTTTCTGATTTCATCCTGGAATGTCCCACTTTTCCTTAGGGTGTCTCCATTTTCATTGGAGAAATGTTGGAGGGTGTGGAGTTATCCGACCCCCAAGCCACCTGAAGGCAATCCTGTATAGGGAAGTTTTAAAAAAAACAACAAGTTGGATATGGAATGCCCTGAATTCTGTTTGTTTGTTTGTTTGTTTGTTTATACCCCGCCCTCCCCAGCCAAGACCAGGCTGGCAGTATGATTGAAAAGGAGTGGGACTGGAGGAGAAAATGGGGAGAGTAACAAGGGTGGGGGGAGACACACTTGGAGGGAAAGAGAAGACTTTCAAACGCCAGAGCTAGGTGGGTAGTTGGTTGTGGTTTTTTTACTACGAAGCAACTTGAAGGCCAACAAGCATCTCAAGAGTGTATTTATGCAATAGATTATTTTTGAAAAAAATAATATTTTTAAAAAGCAGAGACATCACCTTGCCAGCAAAGGTCCGTATAGTTAAACCCATGGTTTTCCCAGTAGTGATGTATGGAAGTGAGAGCTGGACCATAAAGAAGGCTGATCGCTGAAGAATTGATGCTTTTGAATTATGGTGCTGGAGGAGACTCTTGAGAGCCCCATGGACTGCAAGAAGATCAAACCTCTCCATTCTGAAGGAAATCAGCCCTGAGTGCTCATTGGAAGGACAGATCGTGAAGCTGAGGCTCCAATACTTTGGCCACCTCATGAGAAGAAAAGACTCCCTGGAAAAGACCCTGATGTTGGGAAAGATGGAGGGCACAAGGAGAAGGGGACGACAGAGGACGAGATGGTTGGACAGTGTTCTCGAAGCTACCAGCATGAGTCTGACCAAACTGCGGGAGGCAGTGGAAGACAGGAGTGCCTGGCGTGCTCTGGTCCAGGGGGGTCCCAAAGAGTCGGACACGACTAAACGACTAAACAACAAAAATTTTTGAAAGTACATACCTGTTCTCCACTTCCTGGCTATGCTTCCCGGTGTGAGCGTCGCAGCCAGTGTCGGTTGGCTCGGCACCATTGACTCTGCCCAATTCAGACAGCTTCAGGCAGTTCTCCCTGTGCTTTGCAGATTCCTCGTGAACCTTCGTCTTTAGGGAGATCTGTTTCATGTCTGCCATTCCAGTCCGTGCCCAGGTGGCGGCGCCGCCAAACAGCAAGCAGGGAAAGCACAGGAACGCGTTTTTTGAGGTGCTTCCGCAAAGCCACTCCTTCCGGTCGTACCAGGCCCTGCTAAACCTCCGGGTGACCGGCTTGCCTTTCTCCAGCACGGTTTGCACAATGCACAGGTCAGGGCGGTCGGGACCGAGCTCTTTAATGCAGCGTTGCTCAGCCAAACTGCGCTGAGGAAAGGGATTTCGCAGCAGGGCTTCCACGCTGTTCACCTTCACACAGTTGCAGGAAGATCTTCTGCTACAGGCCTGAAAAACAATTTAGAGAGGAAAGAACGAATTATCGTGCCAGACTGTCCTTTCTCAAGCTGATCACACTCTGCAAATTCAGGTAGGGAGCCGTGTTTGTCTGACGCAGTCGAAATAAAAATATTTTTTTAAAAAACAAACATTGTCCTGCAGCACCTTATAGACCAGGCATGTCCAAAGTCAGTTTCAGGGGCCTAATTTGGCCTACCCGTCGGTTTAATCTGGCCCCTGTGGCAGTTTATTTATGCCTTATGAGGAACAGCTAAGGGAGCTGGGCATGTTTAGCCTGGAGAAGAGGAGGTTAAGGGGTGATATGATAGCCATGTTCAAATATATAAAAGGATGTCACATAGAGGAGGGAGAAAGGTTGTTTTCTGCTGCTCCAGAGAAGCGGACACGGAGCAATGGATCCAAACTACAAGAAAGAAGATTCCACCTAAACATTAGGAAGAACTTCCTGACAGTAAGAGCTGTTTGACAGTGGAATTTGCTGCCAAGGAGTGTGGTGGAGTCTCCTCCTTTGGAGGTCTTTAAGCAGAGGCTTGACAACCATATGTCAGGAGTGCTCTGATGGTGTTTCCTGCTTGGCAGGGGGTTGGACTCGATGGCCCTTGTGGTCTCTTCCAACTCTATGATTCTATGATTCTATTTCCTGGAGTAAAATCCTAAAAGAAAGCTCAACAGCTTTGGTTGGCCCCCAGGGCCCTTCGCTTCATCAAAACTGGCCCTCTTTGAAAAAAGTTTGGACACCGCTGTTATAGACCAACTAAGTTTGTACTGGTATAAGCTCTGGTGTGCACGGTATCTGAAGAAGTGTGCATACAAACAAAAGCTTATACCGGAACAAACTTAGTTGGTCTATAAGGCGCTACTGGGCAATTTTTTATTTATTTTTATTATTTTTATTTTGACACTGCAAATATTGGACGAAACCTTAAAAAGGCGGCAGCTCACTGTCAGCCCTGAGCAGCCGTTTGGTGCTGACAGCAAGCCCGTTTGAAGGCGTGCCGACAATAATGGACACCGACAGCAAACCCAGCTTTGTCTGCAGTTGCAGTTTGGATTCAGACCTGCCAATGGGCATTTTGTCCCATGAAGCCCCAGCACTGAAGTCCGGTGCTCAAAAGCTTGTTGTGACGGACGGACCCAGAAACCAATCAGGAGAGCGTGAGCTGCAATTAAGCAATATGTAAGTTGTTTACATACATGAAAGTGAAATGAAATCCATGAATCCAACCACACGGCACGTCAGGCAGCAGAGGAACCAACCTGAACAGCAGGTTGCCAGGAACGGACAAGACAAGGAAAAGTCCTTGCCATCTGTTTTTATTCAATATTCACAGAGAGAGGCTTGGGAATGTGGCCTCTCAGAATAACAGTGTTGCTCCGAGTAAGTCTCCACCCACCCCTCTCCCTTCATGCATCATCACTACGGGTGCTGATTGCCAGGATCGTCCTACTCACGTGTAGGACCCTGATAGAGACACATGCCCGACTGGCATGTTCTCTCCCTCCTGGTCTGTCGTTCGGGAGCTTCAAAAGCTTTCTCCAGCCCAAACATCACAGCGACTGATTCCAAGAGGCGTCAGCACAATTAGGAACAGCAGAGGAACAGCAGTTTGCATAACAAACTCAGTAGCACAGCATTTTTTTTTATACGGCTTCTCCCCTATGCGTATTATCCATACAATAAAGTTTTTGTTGCAAATGACACTTTTCAGTCAACTTATAACTTACTTCCAGCTTGGGATGCTTGGCTCTTTTTGCTGACACTTTGGGCTGTATCGAACAAAGCTGTTCTGTCGTCGGAAGGTTTTCCGCCTGCACAATGGAAGGTTCCTCCTCTCTCTTCACCTCACAAATCGGTTCCAGGGCTTCACCCAACTCTCCAAACCAGATATTCAGGGGACGCAAGGGGCAGTAGGAATCTATTTCACTTTTAATCTCTGGATCTTTACTTCCTGGAATCAAAATAAAGGAAGCATGTGAGGAACTGAGTCTCTAAGGAGAAGGAACCAACCAAATTCACAGCTGTGGAGAAGATAGCAAAGACATCATCCATGCACATATTCAGTGGGGGGGCAGATCCTGCCATGCATTAAATAAACCGGGCTGATATTTACTAAGGTGTTGTTTTAGCTATTCAAGGGCGGAATATTGGTTAGCAGGAACTATTGGGAATTGGTGGCTGTGTCACCCACTGGAACCAAAAATTCTGTCATTTCCTGCAAGAACCAACCAAACTTCTGGAAAGGAAGAGAGTGAGGGTGGCAGAAGTCTACAAAAAACGAACATACTATTATCAGGGAACCAGTTCAAAAATCACCTGTCTACAGAGGACCTTAACTCAGGTGTGAGGAACTATGTCCCTCCAGATGTTGCTAAATTCCCAGCTCACATTATCCTTTATCATTTGGTCAGCTACGACTGGAGGGCCACAGGACCCTCGTACCTACGGGACCGCCTCTCCTGGTATGCCCTGCGGAGGACCTTAAGGTCCATAAATAACAACACTTTGGAAGTCCCGAGCCCCAAGGAGGTTAGATTGGCCTCAGTCAAGGCCAGGGCCTTTTCAGCTCTGGCCCTGGCCTGGTGGAACACCCTACCGCAGGAGATCAGGGCCCTGCGGGATTTGACATCTTTCCGCAGGGCCTGCAAGACAGAGCTGTTCCGACTCAGTCTAACACCCCCCCCCATTATTATTTTTTGATGGAACCCCTTATATGGGATCCCTTATATGGGATTTGTATATAAATTTTCCGTCGGCTCTTTTTGCTGGCCCATGTAGGACCAGCATGGATAGTTGGCCCCGGTGAATATTTGATGTTTTCTCCCCTTATGGCTTTGATCTATAAGGTAAAGGTAAAGGTATCCCTGCCCGTACGGGCCAGTCTTGACAGACTCTAGGGTTGTGCGCCCATCTCACTCAAGAGGCCGGGGGCCAGCGCTGTCCGGAGACACTTCCGGGTCACGTGGCCAGCGTGACATCGCTGCTCTGGCGAGCCAGAGCCGCACACGGAAACGCCGTTTACCTTCCCGCTAGTAAGCAGTCCCTATTTATCTACTTGCACCCGGAGGTGCTTTCGAACTGCTAGGTTGGCAGGCGCTGGGACCCAGCAACGGGAGCGCACCCCGCCGCGAGGATTCGAACCGCCAACCTTTCGATCGGCAAGCCCTAGGCGCTGAGGCTTTTACCCACAGCGCCACGCGATCTATAGGCTACCACTAAAAAGAGGCTGCATTTTAAACTGTATTCTAACTTACATTTTAATCAACTACTCTCTTTTTTGTTTTGGGGGTTTTGTTTGTTTGTTTTGTTTTGTTTTTAATGTTTTTACTGTACTTATATTCAGTGTTAGCCGCCCTGAGCCCGGTCTTGGCCGGGGAGGGTGGGGTATAAATAAAAAAATATTATTAATAATAATAATTCTTCTTCACTTCTCCCTTCCTCCTTCCTCCTGGTCATTGTGAGAGTTGCTCATTTTCTTCGACTCCCTGGTGTACCTGGTGAAGACTTGTTCTCCTGCCCCAAGAGTACAAGGTCTACAGAAGTGCCTCTGGGCAAGGGGTTTTGCCAAAATATTTTTGGAAGTCCACAAGATTACTGTGCACCAGACAACCATGGGCAGCTGGTCCATTAGGGCAAAAGGGTCACTGCCCCACAAACCTCAGCCTGCCTGCCTTCTCCCTTACAAACAGCAAGGGAATGGCTCTGCCCATCATCATAGGCTCTCGCTTCGCTCACCGCTGCTCCATGCTGCCCTGCCAGTCTCATCAGGCACCAGACACCACTGCAGAAAACCTCCAATTTCCAGGCAAGGAGGAGCACATTCGCAATTACCTGCTGCTGAGTATCCTTCCATGCAGGGCGGTATAACCAGCTCTTCGAGCCAGCGGATGAGGTCCGGCCTGGGCATGAGAGGGTCTCCTCCTTCTTGGGAGAAAGGAAAAGCAGGCCTAATTACAAACACGTTTCCTTCTGAAACATCCCCGTTTTCGTCTCCCACACCCTGTTCTTGGCAAGAGGAGGAGGTCTCTCCCCCCGTACTTGGGTGCCCACATGCCTATTGCCCAGTTCAGATTTTTGGGGAAGGGCCATTGCTCACATGTGGGAGCACTGGCCTCAAGAGCAGAAGCTCCCAAGTTTAATCCCCGGGCTGAACACTGAGCTAGGTAGACCAATGGTCTGACTCGCCATAAGGCAGTATGGCTATGAAGAGAACTCTACAGCCTAGATCAGACACGTCCAACTCTCAGGAGACTGCGATCTACTCCTGGTATAATAAAACTAGCAGTGATCTACCCATTGTCATTATAATAACATTTTATTTATATCCCGCCCTCTCCAGCCGAAGCCGGGCTCAGAGCAGCTAACAATAAAAGTAACACAGTTTACATAAACTTACAATCAATTAATTGAAATGCATTCTAAAATCAATTCATTCTAAAATCAATTCAAAATCAAATTAATGGCAACCATTGGGCTAGAGTTCTATGAGGATTACAGAAGAAGAGAGGAGGTCAGGCTGTGCCCTGGCCAAAGGCCTGGTGGAACAGCTCTGTCTTGCAGGCCCTGTGGAAGGATGTCAGGTCCCGCAGGGCCCTAGTCTCTTGTGACAGAGCGTTCCACCAGATCGGGGCCATGGCCGAAAAAGCCCTGGCTCTGGTTGAGGCCAGCCTAACCTCCCTGTGGCCTGGGACCTCCAAGATGTTTTTGTTTGAAGACCGTACAGTGGTACCCCGCAAGACGAACGCCTCGCGAGACGAAAAACTCGCAAAACGAAAGGTTTTTTCGTTTTCGAGTTGCCTCGCAAGACGAATTTCCCTATGGGCTTGCTTCGCAAAACGAAGCTTGCCCCGGGGACAGCGGGTCTTCTCTTTTGAAGCAAGGGGCGGCGGGGAGATCGCTTCTCCCCACCGCCCCTTGCTTCAAAAGAGGTCTGCCCCCAGACCTCTTTTGAAGCAAGGGGCTGCGGGGAGATCGCTTCTCCTGGTGCTCCGAAGCGGGGTGGGAACACCTGCCCCAGCCACCCCGCTTCGGAACGCTGCTCCGAAGCGGGGTGGGGGGCGGGAACACCTGCCCCAGCCGCCGGGCTTCGTAGCGCTGCTGCGAAGCCGGGCGGGGGGGCGGGAACACCTGCCCCAGCCACCCCGCTTCGGAACGCTGCTCCGAAGTGGGGTGGGGGGGCGGGAACACCTGCCCCAGCCGCCGGGCTTCGTAGCGCTGCTGCGAAGCCGGGCGGGGGGCGGGAACACCTGCCCCAGCCACCCCGCTTCGGAACGCTGCTCCGAAGCGGGGTGGGGGGAGCAGGAACACTTGCCCCAGCCGCCGGGCTTCGTAGCGCTGCTGCGAAGCCGGGCGGGGGGCGGGAACACCTGCCCCAGCCACCCCGCTTCGGAACGCTGCTCCGAAGCGGGGTGGGGGGGCGGGAACACCTGCCCCCGCCGCCGGGCTTCGTAGCGCTGCTGCGAAGCCGGGTGGGGGGCGGGAACACCTTCTGAAGGCGGGCGGGGGGCGAAAGTCTTTGTCCTCCCTGCCTGCCTTCCCAGGGGCTTTTAAATCGCCCCGGACGCTGCTCCGAAGCGGGGTGGGGGGGCGGGAACACCTGCCCCCGCCGCCGGGCTTCGTAGCGCTGCTGCGAAGCCGGGCGGGGGGCGGGAACACCTGCCCCAGCCACCCCGCTTCGGAACGCTGCTCCGAAGCGGGGTGGGGGGGCGGGAACACCTGCCCCAGCCGCCGGGCTTCGTAGCGCTGCTGCGAAGCCGGGCGGGGGGGCGGGAACACCTGCCCCAGCCACCCCGCTTCGGAACGCTGCTCCGAAGCGGGGTGGGGGGGCGGGAACACCTGCCCCAGCCGCCGGGCTTCGTAGCGCTGCTGCGAAGCCGGGCGGGGGGGCGGGAACACCTGCCCCAGCCACCCCGCTTCGGAACGCTGCTCCGAAGCGGGGTGGGGGGCGGGAACACCTGCCCCAGCCGCCGGGCTTCGTAGCGCTGCTGCGAAGCCGGGCGGGGGGCGGGAACACCTGCCCCAGCCACCCCGCTTCGGAACGCTGCTCCGAAGCGGGGTGGGGGGGGCAGGAACACTTGCCCCAGCCGCCGGGCTTCGTAGTGCTGCTGCGAAGCCGGGCGGGGGGCGGGAACACCTGCCCCAGCCACCCCGCTTCGGAACGCTGCTCCGAAGCGGGGGGGGGCGGGAACACCTGCCCCAACCGCCGGGCTTCGTAGCGCTGCTGCGAAGCCGGGTGGGGGGCGGGAACACCTTCTGAAGGCGGGCGGGGGGCGAAAGTCTTTGTCCCCCTGCCTGCCTTCCCAGGGGCTTTTAAATCGCCCCGGACAGCAGAGAAGTCCTCCGCTGTCCCGGGGCGATTTTAAAATGCCGCCCGCCAGCATTTTAAGATCGCCCGGACAGCGGAGAAGTCCTCCGCTGTCCCAGGGTTTTTTAAAATGCTGGGGGTGGGAAGAAAAGCCCTTGTCCCCCCCCCCCAGCCTTCAGAAGAGGTCCGGGGACAGACTGTCCCCAGACCTGGTCTGAAGGCGGTTTCCCTAGGAACGCATTAATTGATTTTCAATGCATTCCTATGGGAAACCGTGCATCGCAAGACGAAAAAACCGCAAGACGAAGAGACTTGCGGAACGAATTAATTTCGTCTTGCGAGGCACCACTGTAAGTTCCTCTGTGGGACATACCAGGAGAGGCGGTTAGGCCGTATAGGGCTTTAAAGGTTAAAACCAGCACCTTGAACCTGACCCTGTACTCCACCAGGAGCCAGTGCAGTTGGTAAAGCACTGGGTGAATGTGATCCCGTGGCAAGGACCCCGTAAGGAGTCTCGCCGTGGCATTCTGCACCCGCTGGAGTTTCTGGATCAGTCTCAAGGGCAGCCCCACGTAGAGCGAATTATAGTAGTCAAGTCTGGAGGTGACCATCAAGTGGATCACAGTGGCTAGGTCAGGGCAAGAGAGGTAATGCTCATTGTCATCTTTTTAGGGCTGTGGGGCTTTTTTAAGGGGAAGAGACCAGAGTTGAGTTGTTGAGCTTTCTTTAGGGACGATGGACCAGAGGGTTCAGCTAGATGATCCTCAGGGTCCTTTCCAACTCTATGATTATAAATGACTGGGAACCCCTGCAGAATCAACATATAACTTCAGAGCACATGCTGTCTCAGCAAATATCAGACCATCCTGCCTAGTTGCATCCCTCTCTTGCTAGTAAACTTTAACAACAACATCATTAACCCGGAATGGCCATACTGAATGATCTCTGCTGTTGAGACTCCGACACTATACAGTCGCACCTCGGCTCCTGAACGCCTTGGGAGTCAAACGTTCCGGCTCCCGAACGATCGAAAACCGGAAGTGAGTGTTCTGGTTTTCGAACGTTCTTTTGGAAGCTGAACGTCCGACGGGGCTTCCACGGCTTCCGATTGGCTGCAGGAGCCAATCGGAAGCCATGCTTTGGTTTTCAAATGTTTCGGAAGTTGGACGGACTTACGGAATGGATTCTGTTCGACTTCCGAGGTACGACTGTACCTGTTTGTATTTATATCTTTAATACTATTTTTAATATAACGTTTTGCCTTGCTTGAAAACCCATGCAATGATGACCAGTTACGGCAGGTGTGCTATTCTCCAAAATAAATTGCGAGTCCAGCAATGAAGAGTGAGAAATCTCATCTCTTCAGTGTCTTACGAACCAAAGGGTAGAGAGGTCCCTACCCAGGGAGGTCACATTCCTATAATTTTCCAGCATGATTTCCTTGTACAGAGCCTTCTGCCATGGGTCCAGGAGTTCCCACTCCTCCTTCGTGAAATGTATGACCACCTCCTCAAAGGACACCAGACCCTGAAAAGTAATATTATTAATTGTTGTTGTTATTATTATAATGCCCCGCCCATCTGGCTGAGTTTCCCCAGCCACTCTTCACTCCTCACAAATAATCCTAAGGAAATGGGTGTCAATCTGCCTGCTTCACCCACAGTGCAGGTAAATAAATTTTGGAAATATTGTACAAGAGCCAAAGCTTGTAGCCTACTTAAAGGGCGCTTTGGATGTCGAAAAAGCAAAAGATAGACCCCATAACCAAAGAGGAACCCAAACTTTTCATTCCAATGAATCCCAAAGCATCGTACAAACTAAAGATGAAAGTAACATAACAGAACATCACAAACACAGCATAAATCATAAATAGAATACCTCACCTACCTGAGCTGACTGCAGAGCAGCCATTTCTTCTCTTTTCACCATGAGGAGGCTGCCGGGAAGAGGTCACTGAGCTTCTTCCACGACCTGTGGGGACGGGTTGTGGGGTGTGAGAGAGACAAGTAGGGTTGGAAGATCTTTATCCTTTCCCACCTTCCCCCCCACTTTAGTTCCACCACAATGTGGAAAGGCAAAAAATAAAATAAAATAAATTCCTTGTGGCCCACGAAGCTCACAGCCCGGAGGACCTTGCAGGGTTCCTGCTTGGAAAACTACAGTTCCCCCAGGGATCCTTGCAGAGAAGTCGGGCCCTTCGAAAAGGTGCATTGCTTCAAGGGTGTTTCAATGCATAGGGAGGGTCTGCCCTACGCCACGCAATATGTGGGGGAACCACAAATGATCCAGCAGCAGGAGGAGCTGAGCACACCTACTCCTGTGGAATTAATTAATTGACGGATGGATTAATAATAATAATAATTTTTGCACCCTGGCCCATCTGACTGGGTTGCCCAGAGACTACGGGAGAAAATAATAAGTGGTTTCTAAAAAAAAACAGAGGAGGGGGTAAATTGCTTGCAAGGTGGTGGGAGGGATTTCCCCCAGCTGGGCTTGTGAGAAGGGGGCCTGGGGGTGGGATAAGAGGGGGGTCCCTTTTACCCCTTCCTCGTCCCCCTAGAGGCCTGAGCTCCTGCCTCACCCTCCTAAGACTCACCCTCAGCGCCTCCCCAGCAACAATTCGGGAGGATTTTGGGGGTAATTGGGGAGGGGGAGGGGGGGAGAGTCTCTGGGTGGGTCTAGACACTTCCGGGTTCCCAACGGCAGCGGCTAAGGGTCGTCCATGTGCGGGGCAAGCGGGAGTGGAAATAGGCAGGAGTGGGAGGAGAAGGGTGACAGCAGTCACGAAATTAAAAGACGCCTGCTCCTTGGGAGAAAGGCGATGGCAAACCTAGACAGCATCTTAAAAAGCAGAGACATCACCTTACCAACAAAGGTCCGTAGAGTTATTGCCCACTCTGGAAGAATGGCAGATGCAAGTGATAGACTACATGGAATTGGCAGAAATGACTGGCAGAATCCGAGACCTGGGAGAAGAGTCAGTGGAGGAGGATTGGAAGAAATTTAAAGACTACCTGCAAAAGCACTGCAAAATGTATGAATGCTAAAATGATGCAGGATATCAAGATAATATGGCATTAGTGATATAGTTGAAAGGAATATGTTAAGAATGTTTCATAAGACTAAGGGTAAAGCTAGAATAATATTATGTCAAATTTAAACAAATTGACACAAAGGGAAAAATTGGAGACATAATAGTTGAAATGTATAATACAAAATAAGATTTGAAAGAGGGGGAGGCACTGCTGAATGAGATTGTGTAAAAAGGAACACAGAAAAGGGAGATGTGAGGGACTCTGGAAAGAGGGTTAAGAAATAATAAGTAAGAAATTGGGTTCCCCCCCTCTTTTTCTCTATTTTTTTTCTTTTCTATGTCTTTTTTCCTCTTACTTTTTTTCCTTGTGTGTTTTATTGTATTTTGTGTGTTTTATTGTATTTTTGTTTTGATTGTGAAGTCTGTTTTACTGTTCAAAACTTTAATAAATATCTTCAAAAAAAAAACAAACCAAAAACAAAGGTCCGAATAGTTAAAGCCATGGTTTTCCCAGTAGTGATGTGTGGAAGTGAGAGCTGGACCACAAAGAAGGCTGATCGCTGAAGAATTGATGCTTTTGGATTATGGTGCTGGAGGAGACTCTTGAGAGTCCCATGGACTGCAAGAAGATCAAACCTCTCCATTCTGAAGGAAATCAGCCCTGAGCGCTCACTGGAAGGACAGATCATGAAGCTGAGGCTCCAATACTTTGGCCACCTCATGAGAAGAAAAGACTCCCTGGAAAAGACCCTGATGTTGGGAAAGATGGAGGGCACAAGGAGAAGGGGACGACAGAGGACGAGATGGTGGGACAGTGTTTCTCGAAGCTACCAGCATGAGTTTGGCCAAACTGCGGGAGGCAGTGGAAGACAGGAGTGCCTGGTGTGCTCTGGTCCAGGGGGTGACGAAGAGTCGGACACGACTAAACAACAACAAAGGGAGGAGAAGCCTTAAATAAAGCAGGAGGGATTCGAAGGTTCCATATTTTTAACCCTTCCCCGCATCTGCTTTGGAATAATCTCTCCCTCCGGCCGAAAAAAGAAGGTTGGATAATGGCTATATGAAGCCACATTGCGCATGCAACCAGCAAGGAAATGTTGGGGGAGTTTCGTGGATGGAGAGCTTGCAAAATGAGTGGAATTTATATTTTAAAATTGTATATATTTGTATATATGGAATTTATATTAAAAAATTGTATGTGTTTGTATATATACAAAATATTGTGTGTGTATCTATCTATCTATCTAGTTATCTATCTGTATGTATGTATGTATAATTATACATATACATTCAAACCTATATATAGTTTATATAAAATAGATACTAATCAGGAAGGCGTATCCTATGCCTCTGCAGTCGCTGCGCAACCTGTGGGAGAGGTAGACAAATCGCCTTGACTAGACACCTCTCCCGCTTTGACCTCAGCTGCTCCCTCCCTCCCTCCATTCGCTGATTGAACCAGGAAGGAACGCACGCGCTTCCTTTGAACGCTCGCCGCTCATCTTCCCCCCCCCCGCCTCTCTAGGAAGCGCATGACGCTCCCTTTAACCCTTAGAGATCCAAGCGGCGGCGGGGGTTTGAAAGGCTGGATTCTTAGAGAGGCAGGAAATGGGGGAACAGGGGGATGTCAATAGTGGGAGCAACTTCCTGCCTTGCGTTCCCCCCACCCTCCACGAAATGTTTCTGCAAAAGCGGCTTGTGAATGCTGTTTGCCAGAAGCTGCAGGCAGGTCAGTGGCTGTTGCTAGAGCGCGTGAAAAGTGCATTTCAAAGTGGGTTTGCTGGTGGGGGGAGAGGAGGGGCCGGGTCTTTCTTGGGAGAGGGGGGCAGGTTCAAAAGAATTATAGAATCCTAGAATTGGAAGGGACCCTGAGCATCATCTAGTCCCACCCCAAGACCCTCCAACGTTTCCCCCATGAAAATCATTCCATAATGATAATTTTACTATTTATACCGCACACACCTGACTGGGTTGCCCCAGCTACTCTGGACAGCTTCCAACATGCATAAAAACATAAAAACATTTTTTTAAAAAAACCTTCCCTATACAGGATCGCCTTCAGATGGCTCAGGGGTCGGATAGCTCCATACCCTCCAATGTTTCTCCAATGAAAATAGGGACGTCCTAAGAAAAAGTGGGACATTCCGGGATCAAATCCAGAAACTGGGACGGCTTCTCTAAATCAGGGATGTCCCTGGAAAATAGGGACACTTGGAATGCAAGAATATGCCATTGTCCCTTACAGGGATCAAACCTGCAACCTACTGATGGAGAGGATACAGATTGATGGTGGAGAGGGGCTGGTGGAGAGGGGAGACTGTGACTGGCCCAAGATCACCCAACGAGCTTCATGACTGAGCGGGGATTCGAACCCTGTTCTCCCAGTCCAGCATTCTAACCATTACGCCACCCTGGCTCTGCAGTGAAATGTTGCCAGCCTTTAATTCTGTGTACCCCAAAGAGAAAGCCATTCCTCAGAATCACTCAGTTCTGTGCACGCATCTGCACATCCTTCCTCAAGGCCATTTGTCTTCTTCTTCTGAGGCGATCCCTCGTAGCCAAGTAAGATTGTCTTTCATGAAACCAGTTTTAAGAGTGAGTCCGTAAGTGGCTGTGGAACCCATTCTGGATCCACACCTTTGGTAAAGGCTCTTCTCCAATTGGAGTGCTCACAGGCCAGTGTTTCCCAGTTATCAGTGCTTATACACTCGTACCTCACACGTCGAACGCCTTTGGCTCCCGAACGCCGCAAACCCAGAAGTGAGTGTTCCGATTTGCGAATGTTCTTTGGAACCTAAGCATTCAGTGTGGGTTCTGTGGCTTCCGATTGGCTGCAGGAGCTTCCTGCAGCCAATTGGAAGCCGTGCCTTGGTTTCCAAACTTTTTGGAAGTCAAACGTACTTCCAGAACGGATTCTGGATACAGAGGTACCACTGTACAGGGTTACATATGCTTCAGGTTACAGACACTTCAGGATACAGACTCCGCTTACCCAGAAATAGTACCTTGGGTTAAGAACTTTGCTTCAGGATGAGAACAGAAATCACATGGTGGCAGCGGCAGACCCCATTAGCTAAAGTTTTTCAGGTTAAGAGCAGTTTCAGGTTAAGAACGGACCTCCGGAACGAATTAAGTACATAACCAGAGGTACCACTGTGTTATTTTTTTTAAAAAATTGCCTTGAGAGTGTCTTTAAACCTCTTTTGTTGTCTCACGGCAGTTTCTCTCTTTCTCTTCAGGGTAAGTGGTTTGTCATCCACCTGCTTCTGAATGACCTTTCTGTGGGCGGGGAATGAGGCATCTCTGAAGGAGCCCTTCTGAACCCCCTTTTGTGTGGACACAGCAGCTCTGGTTCCCAGCGGCGTTGCGGGACGTGGGCAAGAGGCCTCGGGCTAAGCCTGGGAGGCGGGATGGCGGTGGAGCAAGCAGATAGGTCTCCTTCCCTGACTCTCCAGCTGCAGGCCGTGCCGGATGAAAGCAAGGACCCAGAGATGAAGATGGAGCCAGAGGTGCTTCAGGGCCTCAAAGAGGCAACAGGGGCAGGAGACAGCTCCCCAGACTCCCAGTCAGCGGCCATCGGGGTCCCCAAATGCTGGGAAGAGCTGCAGCGCGTTAAGCAGGAGCCAGGTGAGGGTCTGTCGTCGCTCCGCTGGGAAGCCCAGTGGCAGGAATTCCTGAAGGCGGTGCAGACCCCTCACTCTGGCGAGGGCAACCCACAGCTGCCAGAAGCCGTGCCGTGGGGTGAAGGCAAGAAGGCACTGTCACGCTGTGAGAGGGCAGAGGCCATCAGCCAGAGGACTCAAGAACAGAGCCAGGATGGGGTCCTTCCTTTCAACAGAGCAGCCCAGCAGGCTGATGGGAGGGCGGGCGCCACTGGCGATGTCGGACCAGCGATAAAGATGGAGTCCGCCAGCGCAGAGGCCCAGCGTCGGCTCTTCAGGCAGCTCTGCTACCGGGACGCCCGGAGTCCTCGCGAGGTCTACGGGCGGCTCCGGGAACTGTGTGCGCAGTGGCTGAAGCCAGAGAGGAGCACGAAGGAGCAGATCCTGGACCTGGTGATCCTGGAGCAGTTCCTGGCTGTCCTGCCCTCGGAAATGGGGAGCTGGGTGAAGGAGCGAGGCTCGGAGAGCTGCGTCCAGGCCGTGGCCCTGGCAGAGGAATTCCTCCTGAGGCACCAGGAGGCGGAGAAAGCGGGAGGGCAGGTGAGAGGGCCTCATCCTGGGATTTCCCCCTGAGGTGGTTGTGGCGCAAATGTCTAAGTGTCACACCTTAAAAAGGGTGGAGACCAAGGGTGGGGATCCTCAGGCACAGAGGGGCCGAATGCAGGCCTCTCTCTGGCCCCCAGGACCCTTCTCAGGCCCTGCCCTTTGTTGACCATCAGTTCTTCCGGATGTTTAGCTGAAATCTCCTTTCTTGTAACTTGAAGCCATGTGTTCGACTCCTACCTTCCAGAGCAGGAGAACACAAGCTCGCTCCATCTTCCTTGTGACAACCTTTATTAGAGTATCCTAATTCTCCTCTTTTCCTTTTTGTTTTTTTATAATAATTGTTTGATTTTAGAAATTATAAACTTAAAGTCAATGATAAAAAAAGCCATGTAAAGAGATTACTCTGAATCTCAGGACTTCCCCCCCATCCCCTCCATGGGGTCCTAATATCAATATTTACAACTGCATATCAGTCCGATATCCACATTTTTTATCCATCTAAATTGTCCATAGTTTCTCTTACTTTACAAGTGTGGTTAAAATCACGTAAACAGCCTTGATTCCCCCCCCCCACGCAAAGAATTCTGGGAACGGCAGTTTGTTACGGATGCTGAGAGTGCAGGAGGTTCTCATATTCTTACATAGCTAGAAATGGAACACTGGACATTGCTACGATGCTCCCACCCATCCACCAGACTTAGAGCTTATCTCTGGTCTGATCCCGTTCCTCACCGCTTCTGTCGTTCTGTGAAATAGTGTCTGGACTAGGGTTACCAGATGTCCCCATTTTCTGGGGCAGTCCCCGGATTTGTGAATAAGTCCCTGGACAAATTCCATCCGCGGAATGTCCCCGGATTTCATCTAATGTCCCCGGGAAACGCAGCAGTGGCAGTTTCTGCAGCCCGGGCCAGTCGGCTCTGGCTGGCTTCAGGAGCTGCTCGGAAGTCCCCATACGATGGCGATGCAGGGGCTGTAAGATGCAGCTTCCGGGCTGCCTCCACCTTCCCTGAGCCCAGCAACTCAGCTGCGAAGGGTATCAGAGCAGCCTCCCATCTCCTTGTTGTTGTCGTTTAGTCATGTCCGACTCTTCATGACCCCCTGGACCAGAGCACGCCAGGCACTCCTGTCTTCCACTGCCTCCCGCAGTTTGGTCAAACTCATGCAGGTAGCTTCAAGAACACTATCCAACCATCTTGTCCTCTGCCGTCCCCTTCTCCTTGTGCCCTCCATCTTTCCCAACATCAGGGTCTTTTCCACGGAGTCTTCTCTTCTCATGAGGTGGCCAAAGTACTGGAGCCTCAGCTTCACGATCTGTCCTTCCAGTGAGCACTCAGGGCTGATTTCCTTCAGAATGGAGAGGTTTGATCTTCTTGCAGTCCATGGGACTCTCAAGAGTCTCCTCCATCACCATAATTCAAAAGCATCAATTTCCCAACTCCTACTTGCGTGCAAGCAGGAGCAGGGCGGGGATCTCTCAGCTGTGAAGGGAGGCTTCACGGTGCCTATCGGAGCTTGCGTGCAAGCAGGAGGGGGCAGGGATCTCTCAGGCAACGGGAAGCCTCCCTTCCCAGCTGAGGGATCCCTGCTCCCTCCTGCTAGCACACAAGTAGGAATGGGATTGGGGCTGCTCCGATGGGATGGGAGGCATCGTGCTGCCTGAGCCTCGCCGCTGCTGCTGCTCTTGGCCCTCCTCCACCTTGTCTGCCAGACCCACTGCGCACTGCTTCCCCACCCCCACCACCGAAGAACGTACAACTTAGGGGCTGCCCAGGAGAAAGGAGATAGAAGCCTCAGAGGAAGGGGAAACATGGCGGTTGAGGTCAAGACGGCGGACGCCCCTCTGCCAGCCCACCGCCATCGCTGCAGTAGCAACATCCCAAACGTGTAGTATGTACAGTGGTGCCCCGCAAGACGAATGCCTCGCAAGACGGAAAACTCGCAAGACGAAAGGGTTTTCCGTTTTTGAGTTGCTTCGCAAGACGATTTTCCCTATGGGCTTGCTTCGCAAGACGGAAACGTCTTGCAAGTTTGTTTCCTTTTTCTTAAAACCGTTAATACAGTTGCAACTTGACTTCAAGGAGCAACTCATAGCACGCGGTGTGCGTCTCCGTAGGGGCAAGAACGCGTGAAGGTGGGTTCTGAGGGAGAGGGAGCTTTGTTTCGGCGAAAAATAGCAAGGCGCGCACACTTCCCTCCCCACAACTCCCAGTTAGAGAGGCCAGGCTCCGGGGCTCTTCGGACGGGGCTCCTTCCTTCTCCTCCCCCCAGCGCCCCGGCGGTGACAAGAGCGTCTGCCCGGGCCCTCCGGCGCTCGCCCTGCGAGGGGCGCCCCCTACCTGCATCTCCGCGCTTTCCAACCCGGAAACCACCCAGAGGCAGCTTGGTGGGGAGTTCAAGCGGGACATCGACGGCTGCGGCAAGTTTGCCTCTTGGTGTGTGTGCGCGCGAGTGTGTGTTCTCGAGTTAGTCCCGGCGCAGCGCAGGCAGCAGGTGAGTCGCCCTTTGGCAGCGCGGAAGGCGCCGGGCTAGGCAAGGTCAGCTCGGGAGCCACCAGGGACATGCCCCCGTGCTCCTCTCCAACGGGCTGGATGCACCCCTCTCCGCTCGCGCGCTTCTGGCTGGCTGGCCGGCTGCAGCAGCAACAGGGGCAATAGGTATCCACCGTTGCCAACGCTCCCTCCCTCCCTCCTGCCCGCGGCGGGCGGCTGGCTGGCTGGCGTTCTCGCTTTCTTTCGGGCTGCTGCAGAAGGGATTTTGCACCAGACAACTTTTAGGCCGGTAGGAGTTTTGACTACCGCAGCAGCAGCAGCAGCAGCAGCAGCAGCAAGACGGCGCCGACTGTAGTGCAAAGGGTCGGAGCAAGGTGAGCCGAACCGATCCCGGGGGCTCAGGCAGCAACCTCCGCCCCGCCTCCCCCCACGTCCCGCGCCCGCCTCTCCCTCCCTCCCAAGCACCCCCCTTAAGCACCCCCCTTTCTTGAGGTTTTTGAAGACTTTGGTGATTTTTGAAGCTTTTCCAAAACTTTCCCGGCACCGTGCTTCGCAAGACGAAAAAAATCGCAAGACGACAAAACTCTCGGAACGAATTAATTTCGTCTTGCGAGGCACCACTGTATGTATGTATATATGTATAGGGTCCCCAGATTCATTGAAAAAAATCTGGTAACCTTAGTCTGGACCACTTTGTTTCTTGACTAAAACGTTGATGGGTATTTCAGGTGCCAGGGGCCTTCCAAGAGGCTGCTGTGACCTTCGCTGGAAATGTGGAGGCATCGCCGGAAACCACCCAGAGGCAGCTTGGTGGGGAGTTCAAGCGGGAAAATGAGGGGGTCTCCAGCGTGCTGGGTAAGGGCTCACCCCCCGCCGTGAATTGTCGTTTCAAGTAGGTATAATGCCCTGACGCAGGGAATCACCAACATGGGGTGCTCGGCCCCTTCTGTGACACCCATGAAAGGTCTCAGTAGAGAAACCCCTCAAAAATCCACAATCCACAACAGACTTGTTTCTTCTGCTCAGTTCCTGTTTGCATTGACTTAGCCATTCCTACATTGAAATGCCCCCGAAACTGGCTTTAGGGAAGTTTTTAATGTTTGATGTTTTATCGTGTTTTTAATATTCTGTTGGGACGCGGGTGGCGCTGTGGGTTAAACCACAGAGCCTAGGACTTGCCGATCAGAAGGTCGGCAGTTCAAATCCCTGCGACGGGGTGAGCTCCTGTTGCTCAGTCCCTGCTCCTGCCCACCTAGCAGTTCGAAAGCACATCAAAGTGCAAGTAGATAAATAGGTACCACTCCGGCGGGAAGGTAAACAGCGTTTCCGTGCGCTGCTCTGGTTCTCTAGAAGCGGCTTAGTCATGCTGGCCACATGACCCAGAAGCTGTATGCCGGCTCCCTCGGCCAATAAAGCGAGATGAGTGCCGCAACCCCAGAGTCGGTTACGACCGGACCTAATGGTCAGGGGTCCCTTTACCTTTTTAATATTCTGTTGGGAGCCACCCAGAGTGGCTGGGGGGGCCCTGGCCAGATGGGCGGGGTATAAGTAATGAAAAATTACTATTACTGTTACAGTGGTACCTTGGGTTAAGAACTTAACTCGTTCTGGAGGTCCGTTCTTAACCTGAAACTGTTCTTAACCTGAGGTACCACTTTAGCTAATGGGGTCTCCTGCTGTCGCTGCACTGCCGCCACGTGATTTCTGTTCTCATCCTGAAGCAAAGTTCTTAACCCAAGGTACTATTTCTGGGTTAGCAGAGTCTGTAACCTGAAGCGTTAGTAACCTGATGCATCTGTAACCTGAAGCGTCTGTAATCCGAGGTACTACTGTACTACTGCTGCTGCTGCTGCTACTACTTCTATTACTATTATTTCATTGGTGGTCAGGATTAGACACTCTCCTTCCCTTCTGCCCTGAACCGAGGAAAGCATTTCTCTTCATGTATGTGCTGAGACATGTCCTCATTCCTGGGATTTTTTTAAAAAAATAGAAAACTCTGGCACTTTGAGAGTTAAACAGAAAAAAAGACTTATTTCCCAGAAATGTTTCAGGAGTTGGAAATCTACAAAGAACTAGCAAACTGTATACATTGAACTCTGCCGGTGTCACAGGCTTTTCAATAAGATGGCGAATGCTCAGCTGAAATTTACGACTTTCCAAAATATTTAGTAGAAAAGCTGCCTTGTCTCTTTGACAAAAGCAGAATCAACTGCTAAAAGTTTATAGAATCACTGGGTTGGAGATAGCTTTTTGGCTCCACGAAGCTGATTGGCCTTGAAGATGAAATTTAACAGGTGGGCGGGGACACCCCCTGTCAATCACCTGATGTCGCAATAACATCAGATGGAAGGTGCCGCTCAAACGAAAGTGTTTTCCCTCCCTCCTTCATTTTAAGCGGGGCGTTCTGACGCAAACACCATCCTGTTTCACATCTGGTCTAACCCCACCCCCAGTCTGGGTGAAAGAACATGATTTGCAAATGAGAGGTTCTTTCTGCAGCTTAACTTGTTGCACCCCTAGCTCATGGGATCATAGAATTGTAGCATTGGAAAGGATTTTGAGGGTCATCTGGCCCAAAGATCCGCAATGCAGGAATCTCAGCTAAAGCATCCATGACAGATGGCCTTCTAAAAACCTCCAATGAAGCAGGTTGATATCATTTATTTATTCATTCATTCATTCATTCATTCATTCATTCCCCGCCCATCTGGCTGGGTTTCTCCCGCCACTCTGGGTGGCTTCCAACAGAATATTAAAATACAATAGTCTATTATAAAAGCTTCCCTAAACAGGGCTGCCTTCAGATGTCTTCTAAAAGTCTGGTAGTTGTTGTTCTCTTTGACATCTGCTGGGAGGGTGTTCCACAGGTTGGGTGCCACCACCGAGAAGGCCCTCTGCCTGGTTCCCTGTAACTTAGCTTCTCGCAGGGAGGGAACTGCCAGAAGGCCCTTGGCGTTGGACCTCAGTGTCCGGGCAGAACGATGGGGGTGGAGACGCTCCTTCAGGTATACTGGGCCGAGGCCGTTTAGGGCTTTAAAGGTCAGCACCAACACTTTGAATTGTGCTCGGAAACGTACTGGGAGCCAGGGTTAGTTGCTCCAGTTCGTTCCTAACAATCTCCTTTCGTTATTTCAGCAGGTGACAGGGACCAGTGTGCTACTGGTGGAGAACTATTCTGGGTCCCGCAAGGAAGAGCGATGGGTCAGGAGCTGGAGGAAAAAGATGGAAGCCAAGGAAAGTCAGATAAGCTTCGGAGCCATGAGATGTGGAGAGACAAATTTCTCCCTTGCCTGGACGATGGCGACGCCTGCGAAATGTCAGCCCAGCAGGGCACTCTCAAAAGGAAGAAGCGCGTCAGAAGCGCAGTGAGCGAGAAGCTTCTCCGAGACGAATCGAACCTCCGTGGAATCCACACGGGGGAGAAACCGCACGACTGCTCGGTCTGCGGGAAGATATTCCGCAGGCGCTCGGACCTCAACAGCCACCAGCGAACCCACACGGGAGAGAAGCCTTACGTTTGCCTGAACTGCGGGAAGAGGTTCAACCGGAGCACGAACCTTATTTCACACAAGAGAATCCACACGGGGGAGAAGCCCTATAAATGCTCGGACTGCGGGAAAAACTTCTGCCACAAATCCGGCCTGATCAGGCACCGGAGGACCCACACGGGAGAGAAGCCGTATGCCTGTTCCGAGTGCGGGAAGAGCTTTAGCCAGAGGCAACATCTGATAACCCACCAGCGGAACCACACGGGAGAAAAACCGTTCACGTGCTCCGAGTGCGGGAAGAGCTTCAACCAGAGCCAGCACCTTACCACGCACCAGAGAAACCACACCGGGGAGAAGCCCTTTGAATGCTCCCAGTGCGGCAAACGCTTTTGCGACAAGTCCACCCTTTTTAGACACCAGAGAAGCCACATTGGGAAGAAACCCTTCAAATGCTCCAAATGCGAAGAGAGCTTCTACCGGAGCAAGCATCTTATCAGACATCAGAGAATCCATCTTGAACCTTCGGCGGTCTAATTTCGTGGGGGTTTTTCCCCCTCCTAAGTTAATGTATATAAACAGTGTTTGTTCCTTGCTTTTTGCTGTCCGCAAATCATGTTTCGAAGGCATTGGGGATACCGTATTTTTTGCTCCATAAAACACACTTTTGACTTCCTAAAAAGTAAGGGGAAATGTCTGTGCGTCTTATGGAGCGAATGTGTGGTCCCTAGAGCCGAATTGCCCAGGGGCAAAATGCAGATCATGCTTTTTTGAGATAGAGAGAGAGGGAAGTGGGTGTTCAAACAAAGCCGCTGATCAGCAAGCAATCGGGAGCGAGATAAGGGACGCTAGCAATAAAGGAGGCTGCCTGCGAGAGGGGAGGTAAAGACAGCAAACTTGCAAGGAGAGGAGACAGGAAGACTAAAGCAATGAGGAGAGAAATTAGAAGAAAAGGAGGAGCAAAAAGCTAAGGAAGAGACACTAAGGCAAACAAGAGGGAAGGGGGTGTTGAAAGGAAACAGCTGATCAATAAGCAATCGGGGAGGGAGATGAGGGACACTAGCAATAAAGGAGGCTGCCTGGGAGGGGGAGGTAAAAGCCCATGGATCCTCAGGATTTTTACATTGGGTCACCCCAAATTCACCTGTAATGTGTATGGGTTGCTCGTGCGTAAGTTGCCGCCTCTCCAGGCTTTGTTGCCTTGCTAAACCTTTCAGTCTGGGCAGCCCTTCACTTCGTGGCTGCCTCAGGCGCTAGCTGAATCCGTCAGTGGGCGTTTCTTAAATCTTTTCCAACATAAAAGTTGTTTGACACCCAGTCTCCTCCTACTCTCTCTGCGCGGAAGTCTTCTGCGCAGGGAGGGCGTGGGTAGCGGAGGACCCGTGCTCTCCCCGCTGGTGTCCGGTGAAGAGTCCTGGAGCCCTCTCGCCGATTCCCCCATCAGCCCCTCTATATCCCTGGTGTTGCGCTGATTTGCTTCCCCATCTGCGGAGCTGCCTCTCTCCCTGCTGGGCCCTTCTCCAGCATCATTTGAGAGCCTTCCCTCCGCCTCTAGCGCCGATGTCAGTTCCCTGACATCACCATCAGATCATATAGCATGTCCATGGCTACAGCCTGCACCAAAAATATCATGCACCTACTGTCGCCTGGGGCCGCAATGGTGCAAAAACGTGGTTACAAAGCACGGATCCACATGGATCCTCAGGATTTTTGCATTGGGCTACTCCAAACTCACTGTCAAATCACATGTCTGTGGCCACAGCATGAACCACAAAAATCATACATCCACTGTTTTGTTCGGAATATATTTTTTTCTTGTTTTCTTCTAAAAACTAGGTGCGTCTTATGGAGCGGAAAATACGGTAATTACTGCCTTCAGACAGATGGGTGGGGTACAAATAAAAAAAAATTACTGTCATCATCACTCAATAGCCCTCTCCTCTGTGAATTTGTCTTTTTTAAAATCAGTGGCTGTTGGTGCTTCCTGTGGCAGTGAGTTCCACAGTTTAACTGTGAGATACTTTTCTTTGGTCCAACGTTCGGCATCATTGGATGTCTAGCATTATGGGAGCGCGAGAAGCACGTTATCAATGTTCCCCACGGCTTGCGTTTCCTTTTGCGTGCTACGCATTCATTTCCCCTCCTCAAAATAAAATAAACGTGACAAGCAGCCCATAAGATGGACGGCGCATAATTTTATAAAGTTCTACCTCATTGCCTCTTTCTCGCATTTCCCTCTAAACCAAAAAAATATCCCCAAATGTTGAAACCTCTCCTTACGGGGGAGATGGTCCGACTTTGGTGGGTGTTTTCTGAAACTCTTCCTAACTCTATGATATCCTTTTGGGAAGGTGGGGACCACATGGGCAAAGCAGCGTTGATAGCAGAAATATGAATCGCCCCGCACTTAGTCCTTTTACAATTTCTCTCTCTGTTAGAAGCTGCCTTAAAGGTAAAGGGACCCCTGACCATTAGGTCCAGTCGTGACCGACTCTGGGGTTGCGGTGCTCATCTCGCTTTACTGGCCAAGGGAGCCGGTGTACAGCTTCTGGGTCATGTGGCCAGCATGACTAAGCCGCTTCTGGCAAACCAGAGCAGCGCATGGAAACCTATTTATCTACTTGCACTTTGACGTGCTTTCGAACTGCTAGGTTGGCAGGAGCAGGGACCGAGCAACAGGAGCTCACCCCGTCGCGGGGATTCAAAGCGCCGGCCTTCTGATCAGCAAGTCCTAGGCTCTGTGGTTTAACCCACAGCACTACCCGCGTCCCCTACCAAAATCTTATCCTCCAGGAATTGTATCTAATCCCCTGTTAAAGCCCTCCAGGGTTTTCAGCCATTGGAAGGCACCACAATTTATTAGGAATATAGGAAGACTTTACACTGTGTAGTAATATTGATTAATAATAATAGCCAAGTCATACCAGGCATTAATATCTAGGGAAGGAACTCCATAACTGGGCTGCCACCATTCAGATGGTGCCTTCTGCCAGGTCCATCGAGGTCAGTCTTGCTTCCACTGACTGGCAGTGGCTCTGCAAGGTCTTCCCAACCATACCTGCAGATGTCCTGGCCAGGGATGATGGGAGCTGTAGTCTTAAGCAAACAGAGGGCACCAGGTGGGCAAGGCTGAAAGCGTCTGTTCCAATCTGAAGTTCTTTGCCAGCGTGTTAAAAAGGGATAAGTTAGAACTAGCAACCAGACTTTTAGGAGTTCTCTTCACGGAATCAAGTCCCACTTGCTAAATCAGAACTCCCGTCCATTTAGGGCAGAGGCAGATTTTCTCCCAATTCAAAAATGACAAGGAAGCCTATGAATGAAAAATGTTGCAGTATGAATACCACAACTTACTAGGTACGTGTGTGTTTGTGTGTAAGCAAAAGCATGGGAAGCAATCCAGAAGCATTGTCTGCTACTTGAGAAAACATTCAGCAACTACAAAGACCTGGAGACATGTGTTTTTGTTGTTGTTGTTGTTTTTTTAAAATCACATGATCACTGAGTCATTTCCAGGAAGGGAAACTCCCAGTGACTGAAAACTGAAAAAGCGAAACTTAACTGGGTCTTCAGCACGAGGGAGCCATGGCTGCTGCGGGGGGTCACATCCAGAATCTCCGTGATGAAGCCACTTGCTCCATCTGCCTGGATTACTTCAAGGATCCAGTGACCATCCCGGAGTGTGGGCACAACTTCTGCCGATCCTGCTTGGTCCTGTTCTGGGGGGAATCGGAGGCGGAGGCTTCCTGCCCCCAGTGCAGAGAAAGAGTCCAGAGAAGGAGCCTCGTCTCCAACCGGCAACTGGCTAATATGGTGGAAATAGCCAAGAATCTCAGCCTTCAAGAGGGAAAGGAGGAAGGAGGGAAAGGAGGAGTCTGTGAGAAGCACCAGGAGCCCCTGAAGCTCTTCTGCAAAGTCCACGAAGCCCCCATCTGCCTGGTGTGTGACAGATCGAAGGAACATGAAAATCACAAGGTGATTGCTCTGGAAGAGGCTTTGGAGGAGTACAAGGTAGGAGATCCCTGGATCTGGAGGGGGAGAAATAAATAGCTGTGGATTCTTCTTGGGAGGTTTTCTTTTTACTTCTCAGGTCCAAAGTAGACATGGCATTGATTGGTCTTTGTTTATCGCCTTGGAAGCAGCCCAGGGGAAGCCTGAGGGCTCCTGGGGTGGCTGGAGGGGGGAGCTGAAGTCTTTCTCTCTGCCAGGGGGACAAGGGGATCTTGAAATACTCACAGCAGCTTCAAAGATTTGAACTGGGACCTTGGCAGGGAGAGAAAGGGTTAACCTCGTCCACCTCCCCCAGAAAGGTTGCTTTGTACATAGTTATAAGAGTACAAATGTAAATGGCACATAGACAACTAAGTACATGTCTCCTTTGGTTACCAGGATGCCTCCTCAATGCCCTGCAAAACAGAGAGCAGCAAGGGATCAGCGTGGGGTGGGGGGGGACTGGGACTGTTAGCCAGGAATTGACCAGATGGTGCAGGATCCAGTGGCGTAGCATGGGGGGTGCGGGGGGGCTGGGCACAACATCTGGGGGGCGCGCTCACACTCGAGTGCTAAAATCCACGGGTTAGGGGGCGCAAATTACTTGCCTTGCCCCGGGTGCTGACAACCCACGCTACACCACTGGCAGAATCCCACCCCCCAAGTATCTGTTGGAAGCAGATTTGGGAGTGGGGAGTGGAAGCACCTACTGGTGGCTTATTCTGGGGGTGCTGTGGAGCCTGTGCAATGAGGTTTCAGCGGGGGGGGGGCTGACGATCTCCTCCCATCCCAAATGGCAAAGGACTCCGTGGTTCAGAGTAGCATCTGCAAGGACAAGGAGGCAAGATGACTTTTTCATGGCAACTCGAATTGGACCTGTGCAATTATATAAGTACTATATATAGTGCCTTTTAATCCCTTTTTTAAAAAATCACTTGTTCCACTACAGTGGTGCAAAAATGCTCCTGTGCCATGCAGTGCCAATAATGCCACAAAACAGTAATAATAGAATCTGGTCCCTTTGAACTGGCGGGAGGACCAGACAGCAATCTTCTGACCGAAGGAGCTACTTGGGTGGATTCTGGCCGCAGCAAGAACTTCTTTGGCCCAGAAATGGAAGAAGCTGCAGCACTTACCGTATTTTTCGCTCCATAGGACACAGTTTTTCCGTCTTAAAAACTAAGGGGAGAAGTCTGTGCGTCCTATGGAGCGAATGCAGGGGGGGGAGAGGCAGGCAGGAAAAGCCCCCAAGAGCCACACACAAGCTTCGCGAGGCTCTTGCGGGCTTTTCCCCAGGGGGGAGAAGGGACTGACGCGGCCAGTCACCCCCTTCTCCCTCCTCTGGAAAAGCCTTGCGCAACCTCTCCAGCCGGGGGGAGGCTGTGCAAGGCTAAAGAGGAAGCCCGGGCAGCGAGCGCGATCCATCCCTGGCTTCCTCTTTTGCCTTGCGCGCCTCTCCAGCCCCGGGAGGCTGCGCAAGGCTAAAGAAGCCAACTTTTAAAAAATCTCTCTATCTCTACCTCTTTTTCTTTTTTCATCCTTTCGCCACCCCTTTCTTTTCCTCTGGATCAGTGTTTTTATCTAGATTAACATTTTAGTTTGGAGGGG